AAATACTGAACAATTTGAAGGATACTGATCCAGACCACTTCTTGGCAACATCAGATGTAACCCACACAAAGAACAACGGCTTCAAGCTCAACAAATCACAATGTAAGGCAGAAAACAGATGTGTCTCTCTCATACCTTTATTAATTCCCATCCATGTATGCAATTCCCATTTATCCCATACCTGTATTTATCTCCCATACCTGTATTAATTCCCATCCATGTATGCAATTCCCATTTATCCCATACCTGAATTTATCTCCCATACCTGTATTAATTCCCATCCATGTATGCAATTCTCATGTATCCCATACCTGTATTTATCTCCCATACCTGTATTAATTATTATACAATTATAAACCCATAGAACCACCTACCTGCCAAAGCCGTAAAACCGATGGTGGTCCTCAGGCAAATGGCCGGCAGCACTTTAGTTCATTAATTAATAATAATTCCTAGACACTGAATATGCTAACTAGAGGGCGCTTCTTTATTGCCTACTCCTAACAGCAACAACAACCGAGTGAAAAGTGCACTTAGGGTGGTCATGATGTGCAACTCGTATGAAATACTCTGATGAAATTCTGCACACCATTAACTTGAATTCTAGGAGTAGCCTAGCTGGCGGCGACTCTATACTAGTTGCCAGCTTACTCTAACCATCAGTTATAGACAAGTTGTCACTATAATTACAATATCAATTAACTCCGCTAGCTAGTCACAAACTTTCCTATATTTCATAATCAATACATTCTAATAATAAACAGCACTTCCCTGCAGGTGCTCTATGTCTAACAGAGTTGAAAACCGACAACATCGCAACGCCTAGTGAAGCATTAATAATTCACACCGCTAATGGCTAGCTGCACTGACAAAAGGCTTAACCCATAGATTCAGTAATATGTTAATTCTTTATAATTTACGTAAATTAACTTACAACTTAAATAATATTATTCACTAAAGTCTTATCGTTACTCAACAATGGTATTTAGAGATTACAGTTCACATTCCTACACAACCTATTAACTAAAAATACATCTCCAAAAACCTACCTTGATAGGGAAACATATCACACATTTGTATTTTGTACTGATTAATTAATAAGTTTTCAATATAATAATATAAGGCGACATTTAAATAAATCAGTAGCCTAGCCTGACCACCTCTCACTTAGTTTGTTCCAACTGTCTACCACTTTGCAAAAGAATTTTTTATAATATTCACGGTGGCAGTGTTCTCATCTACTTTGTTTCTAAGGTCATTGTTTCTAAACTGCCTTTAGAACTGCCAGTTCTAAAGGCAGTTCTTATGTTGGCCTGTCTAGCATATGCCGCTGATGATACCCTTTGGATGTTTATGTGTGTGTGTTTACTCTGATGTATTGGGTGTAGGATACTATTTAGTTGTGTAGGAAACATAGACAAGGTCCACCAGACCGGGTGTTGGTGCCGTGGTGGAGGGGGAGAGGGCACTCTCGCAAGCACAATACTCCCACTACACACAGCTGCCCCCTCATGCCCCCACCTGTTGCTTCTTCGCCTCCTACTGCCCCATCTGTTGCTGCTATTGCTCCTCTTGCCCCATATGTGGCTGCTACAACAGCTCCAGCACCTGTATCTTCTATAGCCGCACCTGGTGATGGTACTCTTCACACTGCCCCACCTGTTGCAACACACACACACACACACACACACACACACACACACACACACACACACACACACACACACACACACACACAAGAAGACCTAGATAAACTAAAGGAATAGTCGAACAAATGGTTGTTAGAGTTTAACCCAAGCAAATGTAATGTAATGAAGATAGGTGTAGGGAGCAGGAGGCCAGTTACAAGGTATCATTTGGGAGATGAAATTCTTCAAGAGTCAGAGAGAGAGAGAGAGACCTGGGGGTTTATATCACGCCAGACCTGTCCCCTGAAGCCCATATCAAGAGGATAACATCAGCAGCATATGCCAGGTTGGCTAACATAAGAACGGCATTTAGACACTTGTGCAAGGAATCATTCAGAACTTTGTATACCACCTATGTCAGACCAATCCTGGAGTATGCAGCCCAGGCAAGGAGTCCATATCTAGGCAAGCATAAGACCAAACTTGAAAAAGTTCAAAGGTTTGCCACCAGACTAGTACCCGGGCTGAGAGGTATGAGCTACGAGAAGAGACTACGGGAATTAAACCTCACGTCGCTAGAAGACAGAAGAGTTAGGGGGGATATGATCACCACGTACAAGATTCTCAGAGGAATTGACAGGGTAGATAAAGACAGGCTATTTAACACAAGGGGCACACGCACTAGGGGACACAGGTGGAAACTGAGTGCCCAAATGAGCCACAGAGATATTGGAAAGAATTTTTTTAGTGTCAGAGTAGTTGACAAATGGAATGCATTAGGCAGTGATGTGGTGGAGGCTGACTCCATACACAGTTTCAAGTGTAGATATGACAGAGCCCGATAGACTCAGGAACCTGTACACCAGTTGATTGATAGTTGAGAGGCGGGACCAAAGAGACAGAGCTCAACTCCCGCAAGCACAAATAGGTGAGTACACACACACACACACACACACACACACACACACACACACACACACACACACACACACACACACACACACACACACACACACACAGATCCATACAGGTGTGTAAAAACGAGAGATTCGCGACCAGCACCATGAATAATTTTCATTTTAATAATGATTAATAAATTGGAGCAACCAGGCTTTGTTGCCACAGTCACGACAGTAGAGGGCAGGTGTAGCCTCTGTAGGTGTCCCTCTCCAGTAGAAGAGTGCAGGTGGGGCCCTCTGTAGGTGTCCCTCTCCAGTAGAAGAGTGCAGATGGGGCCCTCTGTAGGTGTCCCTCTCCAGTAGAAGAATGCAAATGGGGCCCTCTGTAGGTTTATTTTTTCAGGGATATTCCTGCGTGGGCCCTAAGCCTCTGGCTGGCCCACTAAGTGTTGCTTGTTTCTGTTTTACTTGGGCGGAGTATGAATATTTATGACTCGTATGGTCGCTTCAGTAAGATTTTGCCATATGTGTTTAACAACTTCTTCTGCTCTGTTGAATCTAAGTTGAAATCTTAATGGGTTTGTAACTGTGCACTGTGTTAGATAATGTTCCAGTGGTCTGTCGGGCATTTCTCCACAGTGCTGACATTTCCTCTGTAGGTGTCCGTCTCCAGTAGAAGAATGCAGGTGGGCCACTCTGTAGGTTTTTCACTCAAGTAGACGAGTGCATATGTGGCTATTAGTACAAATGGGGAATCTATGACAAGCCGCTGGGTTCATGTCTTCGTCGAGGCCACCCGCAGGTCAATTCAGGTAAATTATTATTATTGTTATTTGTATTATTATTATTATTACTATTATTTGGCCCCCGGGTGTGGGTTAAGTAGGCACGTCCCAACATCAATTACACAGAGAGATATCACTAACATGATATATATATATATATCAATGAGAAAATCAACTGAAACTCTTAGGTGACTCGAACTCGCAACCAACGTACCGCCAGTCGCAACCTCTACCACTGTACCACCCCTGCCGTGCTAAAAGTTATACAACCTGGGATTCTACTGAATCGACAAGAAGTCTGGAGGCCTCTCCTGAAGCCGTAGCAAGTTCTACGTGACACCCGGGTGTGGGTAAAATAGGTCAACACCGTACGCCGCAACATCAATTAAACAGAGAGAAATATATATCAATGATATATATCAATGCGAAAATCAATTGAAGCTCTTAGATGACGCGAAACTTAGGTGACATTGATATAACACGTTAGTGATTTCTCTCTGTTATAGAGTTATTTATACAAGGGTATAATTTGTTATACCCTATATAACAAATATAGAGTTATTTGGCCAAGGAATTTGCCATCTAATTTGTTACAAATTTATATTATTTAATATTATTAAATAATTTATATTATTAGTGACATTGTGCAGTGTGCAGTGACATTAAGTCACTGCACATTCTCTCATGTGTATTATACATATATAAAACGCTAAACTATAATGCCAATCCTGATCTCAAAAGCTTCATAGAAGGTTGTAACAGAACCCATGAGCACCACACCAGAAATAAATACAGTTTTGATATTCCTAGAGTACGACTAAATCAAACCAGAAATGCTCTACAAATCAAGGGGCCCAGAATGTGGAATGACCTTCCCAACCATGTTAAAGACTGTACCTCTCTCAACCAGTTTAAGTTAAAAACGAAGCTATACCTAATAAATTCCATGTAACCCACCTTACCCCCCTGTTGTCAACCCATGTATATTTTTTGTTTTTTTGTTTTTCAAATCAACGCTGTTTGAATGTAATTTTCTGTAATAATTTGTAATTGTATTTGTGCTGCTTTTTCAACAATGTTCCCCCCTCTTTTACCTCTATTTTTTATATGTACTCATCACATCTTTTCTTTTTACCCATTAGTTTTAAGCTGTAGTCATTAATGTTTTTCCTGCCCGAAACGCTTTGCGTAATAGTGGCTTTAGGCATTGTATGTACTAGCTCTATCTATAAAGCCAACAAACTTTGTAAATCTCTTTATGTATGTACCTTACCTAAATAAAGATTATTATTATTATTATTATTATTATCTCTGAAATTACTGTCACTGATTATAATTATTTATTCAAGTTCAAGGTCACGTTCAAATATGTTTATTGAGACAAGACAAAAATATATCTCAAAGGGATAGAGTAGCTTAAGCTATTTCTACCCCCCTCCCAATTATCTATTTTTGTTGTTGAGAAAATCAGTAGGAACTGTATAGAGGATTTAAAAAGCTATGCTCTGGATACTCCAATGAATTCCAAGATTTTACTGGGTACTTGCGGATTTTCTCATTGATTCATCACGTTAATGTGATTTCTTTGTGCATTCTTCTTATTATTATTATCATTATTGTTATTGTTATTATTATTTATTTTTAGAACGTATAATCACTGGTGTCAGGGTATGAGGGAAGGTGTCGGGTGACGTCATCAGCACACACATTCAGTCCCTGCGTTCGTGAGCGTCAAAATATAAACAAACCGTTCCACGTGTGGTAGTTTCCTTGCCTAAGGTGCACGTAGCATAAAGAAGACTTCCCTTGGCCACACGAGAAGCCGTGTTTAATCAAAATGGCAAGTCAATGTCATTCTCATCAAGTTGTAAACCATTAAAATAGTGGGAGCATAGTTCAACCATGACGTTTTGCAAGCACCTCCGCCTAGAGGCCAGGGGAAAATGTGTTGCAGTTAATTAATTGTATTTATTTATTTATTTATTTATATATACAAGAGTTCTTACATTCTTGTACAGCCACTAGTATGCGTAGCGTTTCGGGCAGTCCTTAATCCTATGTTCCCCGGAATACGACCCCGCGAAAAATCTTTTAACAATCAGGTACCCATTTTACTGTTGAGTTAAACAGAGGCTACAGCTAAGGATTAGCGCCCAGTAAATCCTCCCCGACCTCCATGGACCCCGGCCAGGATACAAACCCAGGACAAAGCTCTCGCGAAACGCCAGGCGAGCGTCTTAACCACTACACCACGGGAACTGCCAAATCTGCAAACAGCCAGTTTATACATACAGTACATGTTAGGCTTATTTTGAGGTTCCCCCCTCCCACTAGGGGTCGAATTACTGACCCTCCCCATGATGCAATTGATAAGGTGCTTGGTGCATATAGGTGCATGTATCACCAATGATCACAGGAGAGTTGATTGCATTTTTGGGCATTTTCTGGCTAAATCTTTGGGTGTGGTTCGTGCCGGCTTGGCCGAGAGTTGCCACAGGTCGGCGAGTCCTGAAAACTGCTGAAGTGTTTTGTGGTCGTTGAAGGCATCTGGCTCTTGCTCTGCCAGGGTAGTATGTGACAAGGCATTTAGTTTTGCCACTTGGCTTAATTTTTGGGATATTGATTTCCATTCCAGTAAACAAGTTTCAGCTGTGCAAAAAAACAGCAAGCTCTTTACAGGTTAGACAAGTTATATTACCTGGCATTAAACACAAATAACAGTACTGTGAGTTTCAATTAAAAAACATACAGCATCCCAGGGGCTTTAGTCCAAATAGCATAGCACCCCATGGGCCTGAATTCAAATAATGCAATGCTCCATGGAACTTAATTCAAATAATGCAATGTTCCAGGGACCTTAATTCCTATAAAGCAATGCTCCATGGACCTTCTTGATTTAAATAATGCAATGCTCCATAGACCTTAATTCAACTAATGCAATATTCCATAGACCTTAATTCAAATAATGCAATGCTCCAAAGACCTTAATTCCTATAAAGCAAGCTCCATGGACCTTGATTCAAATAATGCAATGCTCCATAGATCTTAATTCAAATAATTAAATGCTCCATGGACCTTAATTCAATTACTGTAAAGCAGCACCCATTGAGCTCAAGTCCAGACCGACAGCCCATCCTCCTGTTCAGATAGTACCTATAATAATGATGTGGACCATCATATATACAGTACATTGATGTAATGGACAAGTAGGAAGTAGAATTTGGTATTATATAATTTGGACAAACGAGGAAAAGGTTTTGTATTTGTTGCTAATAAAACCTAGCCTAACCTAATCATCCTTGGCCTAATATACACTCTCTGAGACCTAATATAGTACAGTACATATTCAGTGGTACCTCCGTTTTCAAATATAATCCATTCCCAGAGACGGTTCAAAAACAGAAACAAATTTTCCCCCTGAGAAATAATGTACTGTAAATAGAATTAATCTGTTCCACACCCCCAAAAATATTAACATAAAAATACATTTTATACATACAGTACTACTATAGTATTTATATTTTGTACTACAGTATATACAGGTATATCTTACCTTTATTGAGACTCTTGTTGGCGTATGGAAGACAGTGAGGAAGCAGGGAGGAGGCGTTCGTGTTTGGAAAGGGAGTCCCCTTTCATTATAACTGTAGTGATGACATTTCTGGGATGTACTCTCTTGTTTTGCAGGCATACCATTAGGACCTGGTTGTGGCTCACTGCTTGCTTGTTTTACTAAGAATTTAACAAGTGTCTATAGACACTTGTTAGATTGCCTCCTTTTCTGCTTGATTAACATGTTGCTATTCTAAAATAACCTAATCATTCTTTAGTTACTCTATCAAATCTCTTTAGCATAACCTATCTAACTTACTTTTGTGTGTTCATCTGTTTAAACACTGTATGTCTGCATTTACAACTATCATTCAACATTAATAATACAGTATGAGCCTGGAACAAAATTAATTCTTTATGGTAAGTTATGACTACACTTATGCTGCAGTTCCAGTTGGTTATCGGATACATTTTATCAGCTTATAAATAATCATAGTGACTGTTGTTTCTTTTCTGTGGGAGTCCACTGTGGCTCTCTGAAGCTATCTCAATGAGCTAACTTCCAACTACTAGATTGTATTAGCTGTGAAGTTCTGTTTAGTCTATCAGGGACCAGAGCCAGAACATGGCTCCCCTTCACAGAGGCAAAGAGTAGGTGACATTTTGCCACCTTACCCTCAAAGCATCCAGAAAGTCAGCAAATCAATATAGACCACTGGTGGGTTGAAAGAGACTGAAGCCTCAAAACTGCCAAACTCACCGAGTTTGTTTGGCAGTTTGGCTAATGAGCACGAGCTCATTAGCCAGTGCTAATGAGCTTGTGATAACTTTGAAAGATTCAATCATTTGTTTACATTGTTTGGGGTAGTTTGTTTGGCAGTTTTGAGGCTTCAGTCTCTTTCAACACAGCAGTGGTCTGTATTGGTTCACTAACATCCTGGATGCTTTCCTGGTGGAGTGGCGGAATGCCACCTGCTCTCTGCGCCTCTGTGAGGCTGCCAAGTTCTAGCTCTGGTCCCCGGTAGGCCAACCAGAACTCTATGACTGATGCAACCTAGTAGTTGGGAGTCATCTCAGTCAAATAGCTTCAGGGAGCCACCAGGGCTTATCTAGAAAGAGGCTTTTCATTTCATTCAATGTTGGTTTTTTACCCTGTAGTTTCTGTTTTTTGTTTTTCTTTCTTTTACTGTATTTTAATGCATCTTTTTAATTACCATCCCACTTGTTTTGACTTGGAGGCAATCCTCATCCTTAGAACACATTGAAATACTTTAGCAATATACACATTGATATACTGTATATACTGTATGTTAAAGTCAAACCAAATTGAATACCCGGTGATGATTTCTTCTGCAGATTTGTTTCTTTTCCTTTACAAGGCTCTTGACACCCAAAATTGGCCACAAGATTCCACTCCCAGTAGGACCTTTAATAATATCTTAAATATAAATATATAATTATTTAATAAACTAATAAATAATGTCACTTTCAAATAAGGTTCATTTCTGATTAATTTTCAAATACATACAGTATACATATTTTTACTTTTTGTTCACAGGGTAAGCCAAAATTGAATGTTATCAAGGAAAACAAGAAAATTATACATCCAAAGAGCAGAAAGGCAAAGCAGTTGTCTAAAAAAGTCAGCAGGTATTATACAAAGTTGTTTGTTTTAGATTTAGCTACTCGGAACGAAATATCCATGTAGCACGGGCTATGGTGAGCCCGTAATTCATACAAAGTTATATACATGTACTGTAATAGTAAATTGCAAGTAGTACAGTTCATGCACACAACTGTACACACAAGTAGTTCATATGCACAACTGTAGTACAGTGGTGTGTATGAATAAAAGTAGAGTATTTATAGAATTAGTGGTGTATTGATACATTTGTATTGGTGGTACCGAGTACTCTCTAATGTATTATATAATGTACAAATTATCCTTTCCAGAGACTTAAAGCTCCAGAAGCGGAAGGGAGAAAGCAATGTAAAGCTTCAGTTTCTGGGAGATAAATTGGCTTGGTTCAAAGAAAATATGGATCAACAACTAGAGGAATTTACACCCAAAGATGTACTTGAATTAATTCAAAAGTATGTATTATAGTACAGGTGTGTTTACATGTAACAATGTATATACAGTAGTATACTGTAGTGTGTATTTTCATAAATTTCTTATGCACTTGTGCGTATACAGTACTTGCATAATTGTCAAATGTACTTTTGTGTGTGTATTCATATATTTTACAGGCACTGTATACAGTAGATCTTTTTTCTTGGTAACACAAATGTATTCAGTCAGTCTTGAGGAAAGGCAATCACTCCGATACTCCTAAGGTCATATTGTTTTCACTTCTAATATACCATTGTTGGGACTAGTAAGCCTGTTACACTTATCAAAGTGTCACCAGTGAAGGGGTGAAGCTGTTTGTGTAATCACTCGTTCAATTATTGGTCAGATCCAACAGTGCTTCTCCGGCTTTAACCCTTCCACTGCAGGGTTAGCCTTTGAATTCAGAGTTTTATGGGACGTGTGCAGACTAAGTTTGTGAGCACCAAGACACGGGGAAAAGTAAAAAAAAGCCTGCAAATGTTTACTAGGCAATTTGACCATCAGAGGTCTCTGGTGATAGTGATTGATCTTGATTAGATGAACTTGGGAAATAATCAGTGCCCACCTAACCATGGTAAGAAGAATACATTGCCATACTATCTTGCCCCCACCACAGTCCCAGTGACCATGAGGCAGGATATCAATGTTTATTCGATGTTATTAGTGATTTATTATATGTAATGACAATAGGGTCTCACTGAATGATAATGTGTAAATATTTTATGATACAGGTATAGACATTGACAGGAAATACATTTTTTAAGAGCAAAATTATATGCATGGGGCAGGTTGAAAAAAAATATATATTATATATATACAGTATATGTATGTATGTAAACAAAGTATTGTAGCTAGATACATTAGTTATTTTCTGTGAGGGGTCCCTTCGATGGATCCCCAAGCTACCCACATGGTCAGCTCCAGGCACTAAAGTACCCTCCTCCAGAATGTGGCCCCTCCCCCTCAATAGAGGCAAGGAGTCTGGGGATACTAAATCTACCCAGGACAAGATAGAAAAGGCACCAGAAAAGAAGAGCACCTCAGAATTATCAACTGCATAGTAACATTTGCACTCCTGACAAACTATAACAACACACATTATTCAGACTCAACTGGTTTTTAGATATACTCCCCATGTTTGAATATTACTGCATGTAAATGGATTAAAGGGTGTAACAAAGTGGAGGATATAAATGTATTTAAAGGTTTTAAATAGATCAATACCCTACTCGAAAATAAACTATAACCCCCCATACTTACTAATCCTAGTAGATCCTTTTTGGCTACTGTATTAGGTTCCTTATACATAATGCCATACCCATTATGGATTTTCTTGTAATGCCATAATAAAGTTTGTTTACAATATTTTATGCACTGTGCAATAATTTACAATTAGATTATGTAACTGCTAACACAACTACGTCTCGATGGTCAGGCTCAGCAGTGTCTAAGAATAGCAATCCTCCTCACTGTTATGGTCATTTGTTTGTTCCATTATAAACTTTGAACCGACCACTAACTGTCTGGACCATCCACAAATAGGGGATATTATCATGTGGCCCAACATGACTACAGAGCTCGTCTTAAGAAAATATAACATTGTTAAGTCTGTTTCCTTACCTTTAACTAATAGAATCTTCGCAACCATATTCAACTACCCTATGGGTCGTTGGAGCAGGCAGTGTCTACTCACAGAAAGTGGGTTGAATGTTTAGAGGTGACCAGCAATATTTATCCTATATTAATGCCAGAAGTGGCATATAATGTTAATACAGATTAATGTATATATAACATTGTAATGATGTACTGTATATTAATTTTATTTTCAGATACATAGATCGCAATCTTGTTGAGAATGAACAGATTCAGCTAAAGCACAATATTGGTGGTCGTACATCCCGGCAGCATGCTTCCAGAGAGGATCACATAAGAATCACACGCGAAAGGGAGATGAGCCAGTTCACTAGCTCTGGTTTTGGTAATAGAAATTGTCTGACATTTCATTTAAAATTAAAGTTATAGTATTTAAACATGTTTGGAAATTTAGGTAATGATTTTCAACCCTTTGTAGGCAGCATTAATAGCAAGACTGAAATTTTCAAATGTATTGTAGTAAGCAAATATTTATGCTATAAAATGGTTAAAAAATAATAAGAAAAGCATAATGCAACTTTTACTTGTGAAAAGCACCTTTCTGAGCATATTATTCTACTACTCCCTCCTTTACTATGCTGTGATGCTTGTTCTTGTCATGTGTGAAGAGGGAATGAACTAGTGGACTGAGTTAGGTGAGATGTGGCTCTCAGTTGTCCTACATTCTTGGTTCCTGACCAAGCTCTTGTCCTTGGCTCACCCTACCCCTCTCTACCAATTCAATGACAGATGTCCAGTTGTGACTGACGTATAACCTCCATTACAACAGTGCCTCATACCCCACTTGCTGTTGGGGAAGCAATACATTGTAATTGCAAGCAAACATGCATCATTTTCTGCACATTCTCCTATGTTCCATGATTTGTTGTTCACCTACATAGGCAAAATATTATTACAGTACTATTGTTGAGTTAGGGGCTGTGGTTCTATGTGCCCCAGCATTCCTCTGAGGGGTAAAACAAAACCTTACAACAATATTAATGTCGCCTGCAGACAGTGAGTCACAGTAATGTGGCTGAGTATATGGTGACCAAACCACACATCAGAAGATGTAGAAATGATATTTCGGTCCATCCTAGACCATTGTCAAGTCATGTGTGATAGGCTTCTTGTTGTAAAAGATGCCCATCAGAGACAACGTGGGAGCTACCATTGTTTGTCAATTTCAGGTTGTATGCAGTACACTACTGTATGTATTTGCCAAATTTTGGATCTAAATTTTTTGGATTCAGACTATGGGAAAGGAGACAAGGGTAGCAGTGGAGAAACTGTAAAAAGTTTAGTTTGTGTATCATTTTTTTTTAATTATTCTAATTTTTTTTTTTTTTATTTTTTTTTTAATTATTATTTTTAAAAAAATTATTTTTTAATTATTATTCATACATTATAATTTTGTATTTTTGTTTTCTTTCTAGAAACGGTGGACTTTTTAAATCCAAAAGCCCTGGAGATTTTCAAGTCCTGGACAGGAGAACTACGTTACTTATCTAACCTGAAGTTGCAAAAATTCACAAAACAATTTCTGGAGTCAGGAGTATCAGTGGCACCTGAAGAGTGCACCTCACTTCATGTTCCAGAGTCAGAAGATGAAGAAGAAATGGATGAAGAAACTTATGACACAAATATTGTATCTGAAAACGTTGAAGAAATAAAGTAATAATAGTAATTTTAGACAATTCGTACACACTTAAACTTTTTATTTTATATTAACCCATCATATGCATGTATCAACCAAGGTCATTTCATCGGTGGTCTGTATGTCAACAAGGGTCATTTTTAGGTACTGTATAATATAAGATTTAAAACTTTGAGGGTACACAAGGGGAAAAAAAAATTGTAGGCACCCCTCCTAGGTATAAGGGCCTCAGTTCTGAAACAACCACCATGAGTAGCTCATCCAACATCACCTAATAATGACGTAATTATCAAAATAAGGTGCCAAGCCACAGAGACTAAGAAGCACCATTAAAGTTGCAGGATATTCAAAAGGCACTAAATATCATTAAGGATGCCAATACGAGAACAAAAGCGCATAAGGCAAGCAATATCAAACTTATCTGATTCACCAGGGATTCTATTGAGGGACAAATGACAGAGGGAGAGTCAGGAAGCAAGACATACACATGTCCTGGAAGGCAGGGCATTCAACAACGACATGCACGACTGTAAGAGGGACAATAAGGAGCAGGGCGGTACTCTACTGTGCCTGCGAGTTAAATGTGTATAACCAGTACATAACCTTGCCAGAGCCATTTTCTACTGCCAGTTATGGTGGTAGGAGGAAGGCCAAGGGAACAGGCTACCCTCAAGAGCACACAGTTTGTTACAAGTAACAGAAGACCAATGACCCTGCCACTGGGCACCCTTTGAGGAGTGAATGACTAGAAATTGGAATAAGGAATGCCTTTGCGGGAAATAGGACAAGTGCGATAGTCTCCTTAGCAGCAACTTTCGTGCACTCATTTAACACCAATAAACCCAGTAAAACCTGTCTTGAATCTGCTGAAGATAAAAAACAGTCCATGTTGAATTTCGATTACCACGGGATGGATAGGATTAAATGACTCCAGAGTCATGAGGGCACTAAGAGTCAACAACAACATAGGAATGTTGACAGTGGGAAAGCAGTTGACAAAGAGCACATATCTCCGGAGGTAGGTGACATACTGTATAGGTGTGGTCAGGAAAGATGACAGTAGCCTACACTGTCGGCATACTTGGACCCATCTGTGAAGAGAGCAATGGAGTGGGAGTGTGAAGAAAAGTTTGCAAGGAAAAGGCATTTCAGAACTAGGAGGGGTTTGCCATGTAGGTGAAGGATTTGCAAAATTTTTGAAGTGGGACCCTCCAGGGAAAGCAAGGATAGAACGATACAAAAAATATTAACAATCCATGCAGAAAGAGGAAGTTGGTGAAAGGGAACAGGGCCCACAGGAGGGGTAATGGTCAAAGCACAACATGAGCAGGAGTGAGAATGTTGTAGGGACTGCAAGGTAGCAGAGACAGTAATAATCACAATGATCCTGTAGACACAGGATGCCAGTTTCAACATACAGGCCAAGGGAGGGGACAAACGAAAGACACCAGAACCGAGGCATAACCCAGTATTGTGCAGAACATCAAGACAACGAAGAGTCAAAGAAGAAGCAGACAAGTAAATGGGACAGCCATAATCAAGTTTAGATAGCATGAGAGAGAAATGTAAATAGAGGAACATATATCTATCAGCCCATTTAGCATGGGACAAGACAAGTAAGATAAGGGCCTTAGACCATTCAACTCTGAGGTAAGGAACATGGGGCGACGAAGACAAACGTGTCAAAGATTAACCCTGAAAGTTTAGCAGAATCTTTATAAAGTATAGAAGAGGATTGCCATAGAGTAACAAAGGGGGTTTGAAGAATGACCCACTTCTAAGTAAAAATTAAGCACAAGTCTTAGTTTTAGAGAACTTGAAGCCATGATTGGTGGGTCAAGGCAACACTATCAATCGCATGTTGAAGCTGGTGTTGGGGGAAAGGAGAGTCATCACCTTGACAGCAGAGGGTAAGATCATTAACATAGAACTCTGAGAAAATTCCAGAGGGAAGGGAGGAAAGAAGACCATTGCTCAAAACACTACTTTTGGGAACACGCTTGTATTGCCAAAAAGAGGACGAGAGGGTGGTATTAAGCCTCAGTAGAAAGAAACGATTAGAGAGGAAGCTTTGTAGATAAAGAGGGTGAATTGCCACAAAGGCCAAAAGAAAGGAGTTGGGACAGAATATGGTATCTCCAGGTGGTTTCATGCATCTCTGACAAGTCAAAAGGGACAGCAACAATGGAGGTCTTTGCAGCAAAACCTGGTTTCTGAATAGGAACAACAACCCGTGCTTGGAGCTCAACCCAGCATCATAAGCAAGTGGTGAATGGAAAGTCAGGAGTAATCACAGATAAAGCCAGGTCGAGGCCCATTGTAGCCAGGGCTACGAAGTTCGTCCTTCCAGCACGGTCAGACTTGGGGGGGAAAGGGCTGGTCATCACCATACCAAAAGTCCAAGGGAAAAATGGGTTGGAAGTAAACATAGAACATAAAATATTTCATCCACAATGCCCCCATACTCACCATAGATCCACAATTTGAGAACAAGGAACCCCACAAGGCTATCCTCGTTGTGCATCCAGGATGTACACCCCACTCGCGTTATCTTAGGAACCACCAGTCCATTGAGATAAGGCTTAGTAACAAATACAGGGCTTAACATAATACTGTAGTTTCCCCTCGCTCGAACACATCAGGTACCTCAAACATAGGGTGAGAGAGTGTGCCATCCCATCTCGCCGTTCATCAGAACACAAGACAAACAAAAGAAAAATCGAGAACAGATTCAGGTTGGCAGGAAGCATCAACCAGAAAGAAAAAATGAGTTCCAGCAAAATTAGTAAAGAAAGTCACAGGAGAACAAGGCTCAAAAAGGTTCAGATGACACGCCCTCCCAAGGAGCATTACACTCCGACAGCTTCCCATCATACCAACATTATTGATGGTATGATGCTTCCCATCATACTCATCATTATGCCAATAACGGGCTGGACATTAGAGGGTATTTTTTTCGTAAATTCATTCTATTTTATATTTTTTCTACAATTAGTTCAACTACCCTTAAGACCTTTGACACAAAGTGGATGAGAACACTGCTACCTAATATACTAGGAAAAGATTATGCTCGCACACACCATATTACAGTACAGTATCCTCAATGTTCACAAATTCAACATCACACAGGTTCAGAAAAAATACTGCAATTATCATAAAATATATTAATATAAAAATAAATGTTACAACTACTATACAATACTTAGAAAATTATCAACCATATTTACTCCCAATTGAATGGGATGAGCAGGTGCACCAAGCTTCAGAATATATACTGTATACAGGTATAACAAAAATCTAGTCATCTTACAATAAATGCATTACCACATAAATAAATCCATTTTAGAACAGTGTTTACACACGTATGTGTGTGTAAATAACGAAGAAATTAACACATGATGAATAATGTGACTGACCACAAAGGATAATGGGATGGGAAATTACTTAAATAATTTTGTATTAATCAATACATCTTTAGAAGTATGAATATTACAATTTCATGGTTGTGGACATAGGCAGGAAGGATACAAGTGAGGTAAAATCAATGTCTTTTGATCATTAACATAATAAAAACAAGAGAAAACAGCAGAAGGCCCATTGACCAAACATTATTGAATCTAATTTAATGCAAATTATAAAGCTATAGAATATAAACATTGGTAATGGTTTGTATAATTGGATCTATTTTTAATTGATAATTTAAAAATTATTTGAGTAAGGTTATTAATACAGTTTATCTCATTAGTATTATTGCTTCCTGGAACTCACATGTATTGGTCACTGGGTCTTCTGCAGTTTCCTCTTGTTCATATTTTCATGAATCAAAGACATTGTTTTTCGCCTCACTTGTATTCTTCCTGCCAATATATCACCACCACCACTGAATTGTAATATCCATTCTTCTGAAGATGTAATGATTAATATAAAAATATTTAATGAATTTCCCCATCTCATTTTCCTCTGTGGTCAGACATTGTTATATTTTATATACAGCATACACATGTATATATATTTATATACTGTATGCATATTTTATATATTATATATATATATATATATATATATATATATATATATATATATATATATACATATATATATATATATGTCGTACCTAGTAGCCAGAACGCACTTCTCAGCCTACTATGCAAGGCCCGATTTGCATAATAAGCCAAGTTTTCCTGAATTAATATATTTCCTCTAATTTTTTTCTTATGAAATGATAAAGCTACACATTTCATTATGTATGAGGTCAATTTTTTTTTATTAGAGTTAAAATTAACGTAGATATATGACCAAACATAACCAACCCTACCTAACCTAACCTAACCTATTTTTATAGGTTAGGTTAGGTAGCCGAAAAAGTTAGGTTAGGTTAGGTTAGGTAGTCGAAAAACAATTAATTCATGAAAACTTGGCTTATTAGGCAAATCAGGCCTTGCATAGTAGGCTGAGAAGTGTGTTCTGGCTACTAGGTACGACATTATATATATATATATATATATATATATATATATATATATATATATATATATATATATATATATAAATATAAATAACATATACATATACACACACACTTGCCCAAGCACTGGGGCTGAACAGTAGAGCGATGGTCTCCCTTCCTGCAGGTCAGCGTTTAATCCCCGACCGTCCAAATGGTTGGGGCACCATTCCTCTACCCTGTCCCATCCCAAAGCCTTATCCTGACCCTTTCCAAGTGTTATTAAGACTACTCATAGCTCAGTCGATACAGCTTGGGCCTCACATGCATGGTGTCCACGGTTCAAGACTCATACAGCCCAGGTGAACGGAATGTTTATTTAGAAAATTTTCTTTTGTAAACAGAGTGATAGACAGTTGGAACAAGCTAAGTGAGGTGGTAGTGGTGGAGGCCAAAACCATCAGTAGTTTCAAAGCTTGATATGACAAAGAGTGCTGGGAAGGCAGGACACCATGAGTGTAGCTCTCTTCCTTTACACTTAGGTAATTACACACACACACAACTGAAATTGTTCACTGTTCAATTGTTCACAACTGAAATTTGTGAAATTGTTCACAACTTTTGTAAGGCCAAAACTAGAATATGCAGTGGTTGTTTGGTGTCCACATCTTAAGAAGCACATCAACAAACTGGAAAAGGTGCAAAGACATGCCACTAAGTGGCTCCCAGAACTGAAGGATAAGAGCTACAAGGAGAGGTTAGAGGCATTAAATACTGTATTCCAAAACTAGAAGATAGAAGAAAAAGAGGCGATATGATCACTACGTACAAGACAGTAACGGGAATCGACAACATTGGTAGGGAAGACTTCCTGAGACCCGGAACTTCGAGAACAAGAGGTCATAGATTTAAACTAACTAAACAAAGATGCCGAAGAAATATAAGAAAATTCACTTCTGTAAACAGAGTGGTAGATGGTTTGAACAACTTATTTGAGGTGGTGGTGGAGGCCAAAACCGTCAGTATGTACTTTCAAAGCTTTATACGACAAAGAGTGCCGAGAAGGCGGGACACCACGAGCATAGCTCTCATCCTGTAACTACACTTAGGTAATTATACAAACACACACACAGGGGTACCACTTCCGGTGCAATTGTAAGAACCAATAGCCTCGAAGAAGAAAATAAAGGGTATTCAGAGAAGACCTTGTGGATCCTCAATGAACACTTTGATATTTTGTTCTACCACCCCCTATTCTTTTTGTATGTGTGCATATATATCTCGCCTTATTTTAAAATCTCATTACACAAAAAGGGCTAAAACATTGGTTGTAACAGTACTGTAGTTACATTGGTTGTTACAGTATTGTAACACTAACATAACAGTAGGCAAACAATATTATATATATATATATATATATATATATATATATATATATATATATATATATATATATATATATATATATATATATATATATATATATATATATATATATATATATATATACAGTATATATATATATATTTATATTATATATATATATATATTATATTTATATATATATATATATATATATATATATATATATATATATATATATATATATATATATATATATTATATATTATATATATCACGCACACACACATACATACACATATACATACATACATACACAACAATCACAAAAACACTTGACCCACGTATGCAGAAAAACCATATCTGAAAAATAGAGAATGCTAAATGCATTTTTGACTCAATTCGCCTTCATCAGAGCAAAACAGAATGAAGAAGGAAATGTGGTAGGTAGACCATATACCCACCAGTGCAGGTCACCTGACCACCAAGATGGGGGATGAAACCGATGGATAAAGGGGGACAAAAAAGGCGAAGGAAAGGGCCAAATAAGATTAACTGTACAAAACAAAAACACTGGATAATATATGTAAGTGCTGCCAGATGGAAATAAATAAATACACAGGTTAAATGGTTGCTATATTGTATTGATGTGCAATATTGAAGCTCATATGGGGATATAATTTGTACATACCAGGGCTTACATTAAGGCTGTTGTTACATTGTTTGATCAGAGTGGACTCAATCACATTTCGCTCAACGAAACCCTTACTTTTAACTTTGAAGAGGGGTGAAATGTGTTGTTAAAAGTAAGGGTTTCGTTGAACAAAATGTGATCGAGTTCACTCTGATCAAACAATGAAACAGCCTTAATGTAAGTTCTGGTATGTACAAATTATATCCCCATATAAGCTTCAATATAGCACATCAATACAATATAGCAACCATTTAACTTGTGTATATTTATTTATTTCCATCTGGCAGCACTTATATTATACAGTGTTTTTGTTTTGTACAGCTATCTTTATTTGGCCCTTTCCTCCGCCTCTTTCGTCCCCTTCTACCTGTAAGTTTCATCCCTTGTCTTGGTGGTCAGGCGACCTGCACTGGTGGGTATAAAGTCTGCTTACCACGTTTTCTTCTTCATTCAAATTTGCTCTGATGAAAGCGAATTGAGCCAAAAATACATTTAGCATTCTCTATTTTTCACATGTGGTTTTCTGCACACACACACACATTTTATTTATTTATTTATTTATATATATATATATATATATATATATATATATATATATATATATAAATGATATACAAAGTTCCTCATTAAACATTTGCAATTTGTAATGCAATAAATTATTGCTCAATTTACACATTACCCAAACGTAATAATTTTTTTCTTTATCATACTGATGAATGCTGTCTGCTGTAGTCAGAAACTTAGATGGGTCTTCCAATCTTTTATGTGAACTCTTGACAATCTTTTGGCACCTTAACTTACCTATTCTGAAGATACATGGTAAATGTACAATAAAGGAACTCCAACAATAATTACGGCTCCTACAAGCAAAACTTTCCACCAAGTGATACCCCAGTCTGCTCCAGTACACTTATCCTGTGTTTGATCAAGTGGACGGAATCGTGGGTCAGTTAGAGCTGCTGCAACTTCATCAAGAGAACATTTGTAAGAGTTTGTTTTATCACGAATGTTAGCCAAGTCTTTCTGCATTGAAACTAAAAACCTCTTTGCTTCCTTTTTGGTATGTGTATCTTTTAAAATACGATCAATACTAATATAACCCACGTGCATTTCAGAATCGCTCTCATTTTCACTACAACTGCTTACACTTCGTGTTCCTAAAACTGAAGCCCTGGTATTAGAAATAGTCTTGATTTCACTCGAGGCACTGTTTTCTTGTTCTTCTCGCAACATTTCTGCAAGAAGTGAGTTTGCCTTTACTGGTATTTTCAGAGATGTCAAGGCAAAGAATTCTTTTTCTTGCATTATCTTGTTGATACGTTTTAATTCAGATACCTGCAACAAAAAATAATTATTGCCTAATTATAACTTCTTTTTCTATTATCCTCTATATTCCAAATCATCTAAGCAACCTTTCAAAATAAATGTTTTGGTGTATAAATGCAACAGGAATTCATGCATTAACATTGGTAAATCAAGTTTTTTTTATTACATGCACAGTACTTTATTATAATACTGACCAACAATGAGTTGTGGAATATTCTGTACAAAAATTATTCACCATCAAATGACGACATACAATAGTTTATAAGCCAAATGCCGATTCAAAGAATTAGAAATTAATGAAAACAAAGATAATGAAAACTATTTCCATTATATCTAAGGAATACAAAAAATGTGACTGTAGATGAAAAGCTAATTTCCGAGTTGGTGATTTGGTTGCTCCCTTTGGCAATGTCCTTTACTTTCAAAGGACAGGACCAATTACAGCCTGAAAAATGGGCCAGAGAAATTGTCCCTTTCCTTTGGCTGGAACCACACTTGCATGGTGTTGGGTCGGTTGCCCTGTAACTCTGTACTTTTGTGTCCGACAGCAGAGTGGACAGCGCTTCGGATTCGTAGTCCTGAGGTTCCGGGTTCGATCCCTGGTGGAGGCAGAAACAAATGGGCCGAGTATCTTTCACCCTGATGATTCTGTTCACCGAGCAGTAAAAAGGTACCTGGGAGTTAGAGTCTACGGGCTGCTTCCTGGGGGTGTGTAACAAAAAGAAGGCCTAGTCGAGGACCAGGTTGCAGGGACGTTAAGCCTCAAAATAATCTCAAGATAACTAACTACCCATCTTCCCCTTTTCAGTCAGGTTTCCCATTTTCTGCCTTGTTCTCAGTGATGAAAACAAGACAAAAACGGACAAATTTCTTGGAAATTTAGTTTCTTAGTTCAATGAGATATAGAGGCAGCCCTCTCAGAAACATCTGGAAACAAGACTACAGCCCATTGCAAAACACAGAAAAGGAAGCCGAACCTTTCAGGAACAGGGAAATCCTTAAGACTAGCAGACTACCAGGGACCCAGCATTGTTAAAGCAAGTAACAGCCACTAGCACTTCCAGGAAGAAAACGGGAACAGAGCCAGGACAGACATGTGATCAATGTTTTGAAGCTCAATCTGAAGCAGGACCTACTGACTAATATGCAGTAGGAAGCGATACCACAACAACCCAAGAGAAGAGGCAGAAACCTCAGCAATGGACTGGGAGGGATTAGTCTTTCTCCCAGATCAGTCAAGCCTTCTGGGAGAAAAAGCCCTCAGGCCTAGCTGATGAATAAGCAGGAGTGGAGCCTTCAGTATTCCTTTCCCCACAAAGGTACTGTACTTAGAATTATGGTAGAGAACAAAACATTATTATTTTTTTATATATACCTCCAAATACATCAGTTGTAGAGGTCATAGAATAGATTCTAAAAATAGATTGTCTCAAAAATCTAGAAAATCATGTGATGCCTTCCTTGGAGACTTCAATGTACCCTGCTTAAGATGGAGGACAACAGACAATAACATTATACAGTAACTGGGAATTAACCCAGAAATAACCAAACACAGACAAAATCTCCTTGAAGTTTGTTATCTATTGATTGGGGCAAAACAAAACTTTAGTAAAATAGGAATGAAAATAAACTCTGAGCATGAATAATGAACTTATTAATCGAGGTCATTACCATCTTGGACATTACACACTCAGATCAAAAACTAAGTCCAAACAAACATTAAAAATGTAATATGCAAAAATAGTAATCAGTGGGAAGGGACATTCTGTACGTACAATTTCAAGTATAGTCATTGACTGGGTAAAAATAAACAGGGAACTAGGAAGTCTCACGGGAACCATGCTAAGCAAGCTTTCACACAAGGAATAGAACGGACCACTGAAGCATACAATATCTGTGAAATAGTTTTTGTTGCAGAAAACCAAAATGAGGACTGCCTTAACAACTCTACTGTGCACACCATGATATCAGGAAAGGGGGTGCCCACACCAGTATATCATAAGATTCAAAGCTCATTCAGGTACACGGAGCTCGCATCCTGAGGAACAGGATGCAAACTGTTAACATCCTGAGGAACAGGATGCGGCTCGTATTGTTCCTCCAGTAAACAGATGCCATCTTGGGAAAAAAAAATCATCTCCATTCCTGGCTGTGAGAGCCTCAGTATTGCCAGAGGAACCAAGCGTGGCACATGAAGTTATAGCTCACAACACAGCTGTGCAGGTCAGGTATTCTCTTACCCAGTTTAGTATCTCCTCAATTATCCCAACTTGTTTCTCCATCTTGTACACCAACCTTTCAGAAGAAGAGTATCAAATATCTTTTGACAGTCTAAGAAAATGGAATCTACCCTGCCTCTTTTTTCCTGTTATTCTAGTAATCTTGTCATAAAACTCAATCAAGTTTGTCAGGAATGACTTTTCCTTTCTAAATCCATGCTCTTGTTCTGTTACAAAATTTATCCTCTTTAGGTGCTCCACTATTCTTGACCTGATTATGCTCTCCAGCACTTTAGAGAAATAGTTGTAAGTGACACTGGTCTGTAATTTAGTACCTGCTGCCTGTCACCTTTCTTGAATATTGGGACTACATTTGCCTTTTTCCAGAATTCTGGAAGAATTCCCATTTCGAGCGGTTTTTTTTTAAATATCAGTTAGCAGGTGACATAGCAACGCTCTATCAGTAGCCATGGTGATATTAAGTCTGGCCAAATAGATTTTATTGCATTTAATTCCTTCAGGTGTCTTTTTAACCTCTTCCACTGTGACTACTATGTCATCCAGCATTTCCTCTGGCCTTTCATCACTCAACTCTAGTCTCTACATTGATTCCAATGTAAAAACCTCCTGAACTAATGTTTAGTTCCTCACATACCTCCTTGCCATTTTCCCATGAAACTTCCTCCTCTTGCTTCTTTAGTCTAATCACATGGTCTCTTACTGTTGTTTTTCTCTCTATATGGCTATAGAACAGCTTTGGTTCTTCCTTAGCTTCTGATACCATGTCATTTTCAATTCGTCTTTTGGTTTTCCTCCTGACAGTTGTATTCATTTCTTACTCTTTAGCACATCTCTATTGTCCTGTTCCAAGTTCTCCATACTTTTTCCATGCTTTTTTGTTCCTCTTTTTTGCTTCTCTGCATTGCCTATTAAACCAGGGGTTTACTTTGCCTTTCTCATTCACCACCTTCTTGAATGGGATGTACAGCTCTGCTGCATCTGCACATTTCTCAATAATAACTCCCATCATTTCATTTGTTATCTTCTCATCCAGTTCCCTCTCCCATTGGACTTCACTCAAAATCCCTCATCTGTAGTCTCATATTCCTCGCCTGCTTCTTAATCTATCCAGTTCCTTTAGTTCCATTATACACTGAAGCATGATAATGCAAGTCACCAGCCCCTTGGGGTATCTCATACTCTATATTCTCAACAGATAAATATTTTGGATAAACACCAAGTGTTGCTGGTGGGTCCTCTCCCCTTACTCTTGTTGGTTCTGTAATATGGTTATCTTGAGATACTTTCGGGGCTTTTTAGTGTCCCCGCGGCCCGGTCCTCGACCAGGCCTCCACCTCCAGGAAGCAGCCCGTGACAGCTGACTAACACCCAGGTACCTATTTTATTGCTAGGTAACAGAGGCATAGGGCGAAAGAAACTCTGCCCAATGTTTCTCGCTGGCGCCTGGGATCGAACCCAGGACCACAGGATCACAAGTCCAGCGTGCTGTCCGCTCGGCCGACCGGCTCCCTACGAGTGGTGTTTCAAAGAAGTGCTTATCTGCTGTATCTACCAGTTTTGCTCTCCATGTCTCATCACCCCTATGGGGTCCTTACTTATCAAGTCTATCTCTTTGTGATTGAAATCCTCAAGCATTAGAATCCTGGCTCTTGCCCCCCCCCCTTGCCACTGTCCCCAAATGTTGCTACTGTATTCCTATAATCCTCCTGATTAGATTCCTCTGACACTTTCAGAAGACACTTTCTTTCCTTGCCTGAAACGCTTTGCGTACTAGTGGCTGTACAAGAATGTAACAACTCTTGTATATATCTCAAAAAAAAAAAAAAAAAAAAAAAAAAAAAAAAAAAAAAAAAAAAAAAAAAAAAAAAAAAAAAAAAAAAATATATATCTGACCAGGAAGGGAAGGGAATACTACTACAGTATTTCTAAAAAGCATAAATTAGACTATTTTCCTGCATCCCCACCCATCATGAAACCCAACAAGAGGGAGGAATAAACACATTACTTGTTACCCCTAGGGTAGCCAGAGTTTATGTAGGTAACCACTGGAGAGTCAGAACAGTAATCCAGGTAATGAGAGGGATACTAACCCTCCAGTGCCCACTTAACCCATATTCGACTAGGCCTGCCATCAAGACTTGTCGATTGATTCAGGCAAGCCTCACTGAACCTCCCATTTTGCCCTTATTCCTCCACAGTAGTAGTTACCCACCAGGAGCCACAGCAGTTGGGCAGGTGCAACATCCAGATGATGGAAACTGGTAATACGATGGGTTTCAATGCACAGAAAAATGTATGAGTAATGAGACCACAGGCAGGAGAAGGGGTGCAAAAGCCATTCTCACCTGCCTGCGAGTGGCACACAAGAGCCCACTCACTACATCAAGGCAGCACCCATGAGGTGGGTCCTTGTGCAAGAAGGTAGAGACTACTTTGCTTTTACATCATGAACCAGCACATAAAATACTTGCCATGAAGCTATTGTCTTGTTCCTACAGGAGCCTGTAATACCTGAATGTTTTGATATGTCAGAGGAAAATTCTGCATGGTTATCATCTCAGGCATTAAGAATTTCTTGAGAAAATTGAACCAAAGATACATACGGTATTAATATACTAGAACAGAGTCCAGTTATACCAGTTCGTAATAAACTGTACTTCATCTCAGATATTTATGAATCAATATACAGTATGAACAAATCCACAAGAGCCGTGACGAGGATTCGAACCTGTGTCCGGGAGCATCCCAGACGCTACCTTAATTAATATGTAATGATGTAAGGGGGAAGAGGGAGAATGGCCTATTGACATAGCTCGAGTGCATGGGGGAGTTGTGTAAAACCATGGTTTGTGTCTCGGAGAGGCTGCAGGATCCAGTATGTTCAGTAGAACTTCGGTTTCAACTCTTTTAACCATGTCATACCTCAGTTGATTAAGGCAGCGTCTGGGATGCTCCCGAACGCAGGTTCGAATCCTCGTCACGACCCTTGTGGATTTGTTCATTTGATGCATCACGTTATTGTGATTTCTGTGTGCAATATACAGTATACTGTAATGTTTATAGGTACAAAAAATATTAGGCACAAAAATACATAAATTAAATATTGAACACAACTAAATATACTGTATATATATAAACATGCTTCTGCTAGATAGACAGCATTAGTAGCCTACTTACAGGGATTCTGTACTTAAGAGCAATTCCTGTTAATGTTTCCCCACTCTGTATTGGTCGATCAACAAGTTGCTCATACTCAGACAAAAACTTTGCTGGGGTAGCTGTTGTAGAGCTGTTGCTTCCACTGCTGTTATTTCTGACACTAATTCGTTTTAACTCGGTGGCTTGGGATGTGAATAATTCATCTTCATCTTCATCACAGGAGATATAGCAATTGCCAGAGTCTTTTTCAGTGCTAGATAATCGCCGATACTTATAGTTCCTGAAAGAATAATGATATTACTTGACATGTAATTATAATGTGAATTAAATGCAAATTAATGACTAGTACAGTATAACAAAATATTAGTGTTAGATAAACAAATTAAACCTCAGTTATTAAGCCATAGTATGAATGATTAAAAATATACATATATTTAAAGCCATTCTGTAACTGACCAGAGAAGCATAGGCTCATTTTACTAGGCTTTAAAAAGGGTTTTCAGATTATAGCTTACCTAGTATATTATTATATATACTTATACAGATTATAGCTTTCTAGTACCACCCAAGATATCTCCCTTTGTTGAGCATCCTGTCACAATTTGTAGATTGCATGTGGAGTGATTTAACTTAATCAGCAGTTCAGTTTATATTTATACACATTGAATCTAATTTATTATCTGTTGCTCCATATTCTTATTTGGTCTAGGTCATTTTGAAGGAAATATGTAAATGTGTATGAATGTTAACGTCGGTTTGTGAAAAATGTACATTTTAACTCACTCGGAAATAAGTAAATAAATAAAAGAATAAATAAAAGTGTTCAGTGAGAATCCACAAGGTCTTCTCTGAATACTCTATTTTCTTCTTCAAGGCTATGGGTCGCTACAATTTTATATATATATATATATATATATATATATATATATATATATAATGTGTGTGTGTGTACATGCATGCACGCACGCAAGTGTGCAAGGCATGTGTGTATGTGTGGGGTGACTTGCTCTAGTAAGGAAGAGGGGAAGGGGGGTTGCAGCAGCCAGTAAACATACAAATTATTTTGGAACAAGTGTGAAGGAGAAATGCATGTCACTGATGATAATTGACATCTGTGTACACATTACCCTATTCACATGATATAATAATTTATTAATTATTATATCATTGCAGAGTAAAATATTACAAAGGGTGAACTGTTTTATTACAATTTTAACTAGGGGAAAATGGATACACACAGTCAAGAGACAGACATGCAGATGCACACACTATCATTGATAGGTAAATAATTATACAGAAGTGCCTATAGAGATACAGATACTATGTACACAGAGACTGTACACTGTCAGTACAAGACAAATTTAAGGTAACAGTGATAATGGGAGTGATGATGGCACCTTATCTGAAATGTGGACAAGGCTGATACCTGGTATTGGAGACATTTCCTATGAAGACAAATTGTAGTGTTTTAATCTGCATTCATTAGATGCAGGACAGGGGGAATATGATCAAGGTTTTGAAGTGAATTAGGGGCATAGTGAAGGGAAGGGGGATATAAACAGAGCTCTGAAACTGCTAAAACGGGTGAGAACCTGCATCAGTGGGTACAAATTGGAGAAATTTCATTTTAGGAGGGATATAGGGATGTATTAATTTTAAAACTGGGTTGTGGATGAGTGAAATGGATTCCCAGATAGCATTATTGAAGCAAAATGTTTAACAGGTTTCAAGAATAGATTGGATAGGTACGCAAGTGAGAGGGGTGGAATGAGATGGGACCGACAATGGAAAACTGTCTTTGGTTAGGTCATGTAGGAAAATTCATGTGAACTCCCTGCTCCATTAAGTAACATTTTCCAAGCTATTCTGGATAACATTTGAAAAATGCAGAACTTTCACAGCATCAAAATAGCTCAGCAAAATATAATTATATATATATATATATATATATATATATATATATATATATATATATATATATATATATATATATATATATATATATATATATATATATATATATATATATATACATATATATATATATATATAACCTATGATAACCATCTTTGTAACCCATATGTAACTCCCTTTTTTGTAACAAAGTTCAAATAAAGTAAATATATATGTGTACATCAAAAGAATGGGGGTGGTAGGAGAAGATAATATTAGTGTTCAGTGAGAAACCACAAGGTCTCCTCTGAATACTTTTTATTTTCTTCTCCGAGGCTATGGGTCCCCACATTGGCACCAGAGGTGGTACCCTCACAAACTTTATAAAATATATAATATATATATATATATATATATATATATATATATATATATATATATATATATATATATATATATATATATATATATATATATATATATATATATATATATATATATATATATATATATATATATATATATATATATATATATATATATATATATATATATATATATATATATATATATATATATATATATATATATATATATATATATATATATATATATATATATATATATATATATATTACTGTACTGTATTAGGTGAAAATAAACATGGCCCAACCATTTCTGCTCAGCCCTGGAATTAAACCTGGGATCCCAGGCATGAGTTAAGAATGAAGTTGGTCACATTATGAGAGGCTGAAGTTAAGTTTCATTAGTTAACCAATACTGTACATTGCTTATCCCTTGTACTATTACAGTACAACTTTACCTAATTACAATCTTCTTACATAGTTCTCATTAGTATCCTTGTCCCTTTCTGTTAACCCTGATCATCAGTTGACCAGTGTAAACCTTTTACAAAACTCCTTACCCTTTACATAGGATGAAATGTGTCTAGCTTTAGACACAAGCATCTTATAATTGTCTTAAAGAGTTGAGGGTAATTAAGGATAATAACCACAAGACTTGAGGGTAATTAAGGATAATAACCACAAGAGTTGAGGGTAATTAAGGATAATAACCCACAAGAGTTGAGGGTAATTAAGGATAATAACTCACAAGAGTTGAGGGTAATTAAGTGTAATAACCACAAGACTTGAGGGTAATTAAGTGTAATAACCACAAGACTTGAGAGTAATTAAGGATAATAACCACAAGACTTGAGAGTAATTAAGGATAATAACCACAAGACTTGAGAGTAATTAAGGATAATAACCACAAGAGTTGAGGTTAATTAAGGATAATAACCACAAGACTTGAGGGTAATTAAGGATAATAACCACAAGACTTGAGAGTAATTAAGGATAATAACCACAAGACTTGAGGGTAATTAAGGATAATAACCACAAGACTTGAGAGTAATTAAGGATAATAACCACAAGACTTGAGGGTAATTAAGGATAATAACCACAAGACTTGAGGGTAATTAAGGATAATAACCACAAGACTTGAGGGTAATTAAGGATAATAACCACAAGAGTTGAGAGTAATTAAGGATAATAACCACTACTGTATCAAGGCCAAAGACTTGTACTGCTCATCAACACACTTCCTAACTCGGCTTCACAATGCACCAACAGTGGCACAAGTGAAGATATATATATATAAAAAATTTAAAATAAACCTTAAGTTCATAATAAATGTTTAAATATAATTATAGAGGAATATAACATGACTGTACATTAAAATTGGACCATATTTCCAAAGATACAGCCTAAATACGGTATATGTACAGAGCCTTATAACTTCCCCCTTTATGTAGAAGACCGTGTAGCTCTCTTACCTGTGAGGGCTATTACTGCCTGCGCGGCCATTTCTGAGTGAGGAGCTCATATTTGGAGCCGCTCACATAGTACGAGTGTGTGAGAGAGAGAGAGAGAGCGGTGAGAGGTCCACCTCCACCTCTCACTCACACATCACTCATCTCACTAACCCACACCGCCTTCTAGCGCTCAACCCGCCACCATCACCATCGCCATACCACCAATGTGCGCACAATCTCGCCAGCGATCATACGCTCTTACACTACAATATATTTAATAATAATAATAATAATAATTCATAATAATACTAACAATAATTCAATGTTTAGATATGTACAGATATATACTTATATAGATATAAGGTATAATATAGATATATAGACCTTTAGATTTATTTCCTTGGAAGACGAGAACAGCAGCAAACACAAGCCAGCGCATATGTGTATACGAAAGAGTTCGCGTATGCAAAATTGTCAGTGAACAAATTGAATCCAAAATCCGGATTTTGTGTTCTCGATCAAACAGGCGCTTGCAGTAGTGTTACCAATCACTTTGTAAGGATTTATTCGGTATTAGCTTTTTTAGAAAGCAACTCCTCTACGCAGCAATTATATATCATTCTAATAACTAATTTATTAAGACAAACATGTACAAATTAGTATTGTTGCATACGATAGTAAAGAAGCTTGTTAAAAAAATTAAATACTGTTTGAGAGGAGTCTCGTAGAAACTGTAAAATTATAATATAGTCAGTGTAAGTCATAATATAGTCAATATAGTCATATAATATAGTGTTTCCATTGATTCAGTGCTTGGTTCTTGTGAAAATCGTAAAGTTGTTGTTTAATCACAGTTGATTTGTTTTTGCATTGAGGCAGGTATTTGCTCCCCTGAAACTCCCATGTATGAATAACCTTCCTGTGAGATGGGAACATTACATGAACTTATAGCTAGTTTTTTTATATCTACACTTTGTAATCTTTCATATAGAATAGGGTAGCAGCACATTGCTGTGTATACCTAATTTTGTTAATAAAAAACGATAGTAAAGATACTTTATTGTAATTCGCCTCTATAGATACTTGACAGTAAAGCTAATTAATTGTACTGTTTTGACTTTATTGTACTTTACTGATTTTTACTTTAGTTTATTTTACTGATACTTTACAACAAAGATGCTTTATGGTTACCATAATTATTGTATTTAATAATTACTTAATTATTAGTTATTAATCCGTGCTATTATTTGCTTTTATAGTATTACTAATAAGATAGTAAACTGTAAGAGTACTCATAATATGGTGCTTCCATATGTTTCCATTACAGTACTATATAGCATGCATTTGATGTTTGCAAATTATAAAAGGTTCCCACTAAATGAATTGAATTGAATACAGCTTGTATTCGATCAATATTATTAAAATCATAAAGATAACCCCTATAAGTAATCAGTCGTTAGTTTAGTCCATTTATTATTCACCCCATACCCATCTTGTGGGTGGTAGTGGAAAGAGTTACAGAGGTACATAATGGGCTCAGGGACTGAACCCCCACATTACGGGCTATTCATGCCCGTGCCACCTTTTGGGTGGCTTAATCTTTATAATAATAATAATAATATTTTATTTAGGAAAAGTACATACATAGTTGCAGAGTTACAAACATTCTGATTTTATTTATAGATAGAGCTAATACATACAATACCTAAAACCACTAGTATGCATAGCGTTTCAGGTAATCAATCATAGCGTTTTCAATCAATCTGAACCCCACAATTCATTTAGCTAAGCAAGTTATATTGATGAGCTAGTTAATAATAATAATAATAATAATAATCGTTGTCGTTGAGGTCGTTGATAATAATAAATATATGAAGGGGGTGAAGAGGGTTGATGTGTCCCCGGGGTCTGGCTACACTGGTGAGGTTCCCTTGTTGTGGATGAAATTCTGTTGAGGAATTTCCGGAGATGACTTTCATTGCATTTCATTTAGGGCTTTCGGATCATAGTTGAAATGGAGAAGAACAAGTCACAAATAATCGTAAGTGCTTGCCAGTACAGTAGAAAGTAGTCCTAACGTCCACAGTTTAATTTTTGAGATTTTATAGGGCCATTTCCGTTCAATATGGCGGATTGGGAGCTTCCTGTTTATATTTTGATCCTGCCCCTCCCCCCTCCCAACCCCCCAGCTCTTTTATGACATGTTTTACCTGAGGGCAACTATACCTAGTAGCCTCGACAGGGACTGGAAGCCCGCGGCTTGTCAGATGTCTTCCTATTATTCATAACGATTTTGTTTCCAGCTAAACTGATGCTAAACTCACTCCACACATTCTCTTGTGCCATTTACATGTGCAAAATCATGTTCATAAATGCAATTCCCGATCTGAAACTCTTCCTTGACAGATGTAATAGAACCCCGTAATATCACCACCATGAATAAATATGTCTTTTGATATCCCCAGAGTCTTAACTAAATCTGTGTAAATACACTATGCAAATAAAGGGACCTTATGTGTGAAACTCGCTCCCTAACGAATTAAAAAGCTATCCAACCTATGCCTTATTCATAAGCAAAACCAAAACGTTCCTATTTTCAACCTTATAGTAAATTTTTTAAATTTTGCCCCGAGGGGCGAGTATTATAGTTCCCTACCTAGTGCCTTAAACTCGCACTGTATCTTGTGCTACCCACTACCCCAATATATTTGCCTAAGCCATGCAACTTCATTGTAATCACTACTATTTATTTATTTATTAACTTATTTATTTATTTATTTATATACAATAAGGTACATTGGGTTTATGTGAGTACATAGCATTGAGGTTTTTACATTCTTGTAGAGCCACCAACACGCATAGCATTTCGGGCAGGTCCTTAATCTAACAGATAATTTTAAGTAGGTAGCTTCTAACAAAATTGAGAAATGTTAACAGCTACATTGTAAGAAAGTTTGACGAAGATTAGTACGTACATTATAGTAAAATTTGAGGATTATCAACAGGTACATTGTAGCATAATTTGAGGATTATTTCTAGGTATAATGTAGTAAAATATGCATTCAATATAACAACCATGATATAAGATGATAGCATTAATTACAATGATGAAGTTGAATGGCTTAGGCACATATATTTGGGGAGTGGGTAGCACAAGATACTGTGTGAGTTTAAGGCACTAGGTAGGAAACTATGAGAATGAATTAGGTACTTTTTGGTACCCATCTAATCTACCACAGGCAATTTGGGGCAAAAGTACCTATTGCTTGAGGGACAAAGTTGAAGGGATAGAAGGTCCAATGTAATGCACACAAGGGTTAAGGGTTTCAACCTCAAGAAGCCACACTGTAGGAGAGAAAACAGGAGATGCTTTAATTGAGGGTCCTGGTAGTACAGTCTAGTTGGTTCTCGACGCACAATCGAGAACGCCGGGTTCAAATCCCGGGCTGGACAGAAATATTTGGGTATATATATTTCCAACACCATAAGTTGGATAGAAAATATGCATGTAAAGCAAATACTAAAGTATAGAACAGTACTGTACAAAGCAAATGGCCTCCATAGGAACAAGTCCAATGATGCATGGCACTTACCTTGAAGCAGGGGGGCTTGCCATGTCTGAAAGAACTGGAACAGTAGTGTCCCTTAGGACATACCTTAGGACTTTACGTTGGTTTCAGGAATCAACGTCCCCACAGCCCGGTCTCTCACCATGCCTCCTGGTTTATGGTCCGGTCAATCATGCTGTTGGATGCGGCTACTTACAGCGTGACATATGAATCACAGCCTGGTTGATCATGTATCCTTTAGAGGTGTTTATCACGTTCTCTCTTGAACACTGTGAGGGGTTGACCAGTTATGCCTCTTATGTGTAGTGGAAGCTTGTTGAACAGTCTCGGGCCTCGGATGTTGATAGAGTTCTCTCTCAGAGTACTTAGTGCATAAGCGAAAGAATTGGCAAGTTAGATAACTGTGTGTGGAAGATGGGATTTCTGATGGTGACATTCTGTACTGTGAGTTTCTCATTAATTTTGAATGTTTCTCTTGTTCTGTGTGAATTGTTTGCTGAGTTGTTTGGCATTTTCAAGGATTTGGTCTTGGTTAACTCTCCAGTTGTCTGTAAAGCTTCACTGATTTTATAGATGCTTTCCTGGTGTGGTGGCAAATTGCCATTTGGTCTCTGTGCCTCTGAGTGGATAGGGGGCCAGGTTTTGGCTCTGGTCCCTAGTAGGTCAAACAGAACTCCAATCTGAACATGGAGCAATCTTAGCAAGACACCTTCAAGGAGTCACCAGGGGCTCTTCCCCCCCACCCCGCAAAATAGAATAGACAAAATAATTAAAATTAAATAGGTAGAATTCATGGAAAGAACTGACAGATTAACAAACACATAAATTTTGAATGGGAAGGTCCTGAGTAACAATCTTACCTTTTACAACAGGTCCACAGAGATCTTGCAAGAGAGAGAGAGAGAGAGAGAGAGAGATGGGCTAACTTCATGTACAGTACCTTAAGAAGACTTTTGATAGATTCTCATGCAAGAGGCTGTTCTGGAAGCTAGAATACACAGGAGGGTTGAAATACAGGATTTTGACATAGATGAATAATTTCCAACAGAAATAGGAGAGCAGTGATTAGAGGCTATGTATCAGACTGAAGAAATGCCAGTAGTTGAGTGCCATTAGGTTCAGTTCTAGTGCCAGTAATTTTCACTATAAACAAACTACCAGAGGGGATTTAGAGTTATAAGTATGTATGTTTGCAGATGTTGCAAAACTTTTAGACTTTGTTGAATGCCATGCTTTACAAAATGACCTAGACAAAATAGGTGAATGGAGTAACACATATTGGATTAAAATAATTTTTTAAATAAATGCCAAGCAATAGAATATGGACTAGGGAAAACAGGTCCATGCAATCTGCAAATTATGGGAGAAAAATATTAATAACTTGGACAAAGAAAGAGACCTAGGGTTTGCTGTAGATAGTAAACTGATACCAGACTACAAAGAAATTCTAAAGAAATTATTTGTGATTTCTGTTGGACCAAAGTAAGAGTATGTAGTACATACACATAGTTGTATGGTGTCAATATCTAAAAAAGTACTCCAATAAAATAGAAAAGATAGAGACACATGCTACCAAATGGCTTCCAGACCTAAAAAAGTAAGGTATGATGAAAAAATTGAACCATTATCATTGCAAAAATTGTTAGAAGGGAAAAAAAAAGAGATATGATCACCACATACAAAATTGTGGCAAGAATCGACAAAACTTAACGAGGAATTTTTTAAACCTGCAATGTCTAGAACAAAGGGCCACAGACTCCTGCTTAGAAAGCAAATGTGCCAAAAAAGTATCTGAAAATTCTCTTGCAAATAGAATTGTGGACAGTTGGAACAATTTAAGCGAGTAGTTGAATACCAAAACTACTGGCAGTTTAAGTGTCATATGATAAATATTATAGGGAAGACCAGATACCATTAGCACAGTTCTCGTCCAGTGACTACACTTACATAATTACATACACGCATGAAAGTCAAAGCACCATGAAACAAAAGCCAAAGCAAACTAACAAGCAAGGAACATACAAGGTGGTTGGCATAAACACAAGTGTAAATCATGGCCCAAACACAGAAGTTAATGCTTAAATGAATACAAAACCCACTTGGCTTTATAAGTAGAAGACCCTTCAGGAGAGGTGTGAAGGTGTGGGTTGAAACTAGGATCATGAGTGAGTATGGTGGCTTGCCAGTACTCTGGATGACCTGGGCAGCAACCTTGTGGTGGCTAAAGGGATTAGGATTATTTACCTGTTGCCAACTATTGTTTACTTAATTTTCTTGATTTCATTATTTAAGAGTTTGTAGTGGTTTGCTTTATTTTGCTTGTTACTTTCTAGGTGGTTCTCCTTCATTATGGGTTGGTCTTTGATTTCTTCACATGCTCCCTTCAAAAGTCATCAAGAACCTGATATGAATGGAGAAGGCTCCTGTGATTATTACCATAAACTCTGGAAGGTTACCAAGAGGTTAAGCACAGAAATATACTGTATATATGGATGTAAAGTAAGTTTAAAATGCATTAAATGAGATGTATCCTATTATTTCAGCTACTAGATAAAAATGGTCTTGAGACAGTGGCAAAAGCACTTTCCTCTGGGTGTTGGACACTAAGTGAATCAGGAAATTTTGAAATATCGGGATCTATTGGAACATCTTCAGTTCGTGGGAATGCTCCACAACTGACCCTAGCGCAAGGAAATGTGCGCCCAGTCACACAAGTTTCAGGTAAATGTACCTTCAAGTTTTTATTTTGTGAGATTACAAAATTTCTAAACTAACAGCATTCCTGTAAATGTAGTGTTTACTGGTTATTCAGGGAGGGCTCCTGCGAATCCTGTAGCTAACTGCATGATAAGCTCCAAAGCTAAAGCACCCTACCAGGTCTTTTGAGTCAAAAGCATCTACTGGGCACCAGGACAAGAATCTGGCCCCCCCTCATCAAAAGCAATTTAGGAGTATGGAGAAACATTAACCAAGTCCCCCCACAAAAAAATATCTGAAAGGTACAGCTCCTAAAAATAAACAATTGCATAGAAAAACATTGGTAACCCTGACACAAACTATGTAAACCACTTGTTGTCCAAACTAACCCAGCTGGTAGGTAATTACTCCCATCGGTGGATGGGAGTAATTACACCACCACCATGTGGCATCCCTGGCAGCTCAACACTCCCCATTGGCTGCCACCATGTCTTGCACCTGGTGTGGTTGTTACAACAACTCGTAGTGCACTGTCTGCTCTTCATGGCTTCATTTTCAGCGAAGTGTTGGCTTGCTTTTTGGACTTTGCCTGGCACAGATTTTTGTTAGTATTTGTTCCTCTGTGGGGGAAGTCATCTTGTCGCTCGTAAAGAGGCTCCCTGTCTATCTTGCAGATATTGGTCTGTGCTAATGGGCCACATTAGTCACAGAAGTTCTGTTTCGCTTACCAGGGACCAGAGCCAGAACTAGCCCCCCCTCACAGAGGCACAGGGAGCAGGTGACAATTTGCCACCTCAGTGCAAAAGCATCCAGAATGTTAGTCTTTACAGCAACTTGTCCTTAGTCCTGACTATGATCGTTCTTTCTGCCTCCATGCTGCCTGCTGAGTCAGTGATACCATCAACCCTGAGTCCTATGTGGTTTGTTCTCACGGAAAACAATAGTCAGCACAGTTCAGTTTGTTAAACTGAGCTCTACTACAGATAACCTGGGACAATAGAGCCCTGGAACAAGGGTTCAACAAATAAATCATCATCTTGGGCAGCCTGAGTAGCATACTTATAATGGCCAACAGCTGCAAGTGGACAAAGTAAGCCCTGGCTGGGCTTACCAATAGTCAATAACCAAAGCCTCTCCTGAACCAGCTGTCTCAATCTGAGCCAAAAAGGAATGAGATTAATGCAAACAAAAATATGGAACAAAAAGGATGATCCAGATATCAAGAAGGCTCTGGAGGAGCAACATGAGGAGAACTGGGATGAAGAGGAACATGCCAGTACATGTCCTGCAGGTCCAGGGGGTCACCATCCAGGAGACTACCTGCAATGCAAAGCAGATCTGATTGAATGAGGTTATGCCACTTGGAAAGACATGTTTGTGAGCTGGGTGAGTAGGAAGTACTCTTGGGTAACCTGAGTTGCCATCTAGTGTCGTGTTGGGATACTAGTGCTTGGTTTGGTTACATCTGCCAAGCTACCACTTCCCTTGTTTTAAATTTCTCTCATTGAGATAAGTTGGTTTTTTTACTTTGTCTGTACTTTCTGGCAGTTTTACTTGGTTATGAGGTTGATCTTGGCTCCCCATGTTCCTCTCATTTCTGTGAGTACACCAGATTCTGGTCTTGGCATTTTGTCAACTTGCATGCAAGTCCTGAGGCTTGGTAGTTTTGTGAATGTCTCTGTGGTACCATAGCCAATGTTCTGGGGAGCTACTGAGGCCAACCATTACATCAATGGTTAATTTTTTGTTTAGACTGATGTCCTACCCTATTTTCCACTTCCTATAGAAGTAGGAAATAAGGTGATGATAATGTATAATGTATATGCAGTATGCATAGAAAGTCAGTCAGTATGATCCTTTTTTTTTATTTAGGTAGTGGCGGATCTGCTAACAATCAACCTCATATTACTTCTGAAAGATCATCCACATTCCAGCGTGATAATTCCCAGGTGAAGACACTTACAGAACTTGGCAAAAAGCTTGTTGCTGCTGCTAAAGTTGGTAACACAAGTCAAGTTCGAAGGTTAATGGCCATTGGAGCACCTTTTGCATCAGTTGGGGTAAGTTATATAATTTGTATTTATTAAAAAGTTGTATTGTACAGTGCTGTGTTAAATACTGTACTGTATTAATGAAAATGTAATGAGTAGCACTAGCATCGTGTTGTAGACTTTCTGGGCAAACTTTAAAATTCTTTAATTTTTAAGCTGATATACATGTGAGCAGAGCACACAACCTGAGCACAAAGACAATTACATCTGAGATTTTCCCTGAAATTTCTGGTGTTATAGGAGTTCTCAGCAACTACAGGGAAGTGAGATATAGGTCTTTATGCCCCTTCTCCTAGCCATTTATACCTGCCATGCTAATTACATTTCTTGACGTTTAAGTTCCATTTTATTTTTGTAACCCTTAAAGTGCGGATTTTGTTGATTCACAGGGTAATGTGGTTACTGTTTCATCATAAGTACTTAGATTTAAACTATTATAGCCTGAGTTGTACATAAATAATGTTAATATGAATATCCCGTAAGAGATTGCTAATTCGAACCTTTTGGTAATCCACCCAAAATCTAGTCCGAGTTTTTGTCTGCCAAACTTTACCACACTCAGAAATCCGTTTTACTAGGAGTTTTGGCTGGGTTACTGAGTGACATCGGAATACCTATGCTCACTAGAAAGCCAAGAGCTTTCAACCAGTGAACCCTCAGCAACAGGGAGTCAAAACTGACCTTGCCAAACTCATGTTCAGTAATTATAGTGTTGTGTTAGGTTGGTTAATTAATGAACATTAATAAAAAATAGCTAATATTATAAATCTTATATTGATTAAAAGTTGAATGTATAGGCTATTCAGTGTTTTTTCATATTCAAATTGGGGGTTTCTGAGGGAAACCCCTTGTCACTCCCTGAAACTACCATCATCGATGTAGGTGCCATCAGTCATGGAGTTCTCTGGTCTACTGGGAAAGCAAAGCCAGAATAAGGTCCCTTCATAGCGGGACAAGGAGCTGTGGCATTTATATATTAAGTTATTCATTTAAGCCACCACTGAGAAAGGCACCCAGAAAGTCAGTGAGTCAAAACAAACCACAGCTAGCTGTCTCCAAGACTTGCAGACTCGAAAATGGCCATAGAACTCCAAACTATGTAAACAAACGATCAAAAATGTTATAAATCTAGCACCTGCTTGTTCAGTCCACCTTGGGGATGGTGGGGGGAGATGCAGGCCACAGCTCAAAGGCTGCTTCACTGTCAGTTCTCCTCTGATGTGTCCCGGGTCTGCTTGATGGGGTTCTGGGAGTTCTTCTACTCTCCAAGCCCGGCACCAGGCTTGACTTGTGAGAGCTTGGTCCACCAGGCTGTTGCTTGGAGCAGCCCACAGGCCCACATATCCACCACAATCCAGTTGCCACCGTCTCTCTGACCCTAGTTTTTTCCTTTTTTTTTTTTGCCTTGGCTGTTCCTTATGCATTTGTTTGTGTGGGCCAGGAGTTTAGTGCACATGGAGCTGCATGTGTTCAGGGTTTCCTTCCCTGGGTGCTCCCTGCAGTATGGTGCCCATATCGCAAGGAGTACATCAATAAACTGGAAAAGGAACAAAGACATGCTACAAAATGACTTCCAGAACTGAAAAAAGCAAGCATTATGAAAAGAAGCTAAAGGTGTTAAACATGCCTGGACTTGTGATCCTGTGGTCCCGGGTTCGATCCCGGGCGCCGGCGAGAAACAATGGGCAGAGTTTCTTTCACCCTATGCCCCTGTTACCTAGCAGTAAAATAGGTACCTGGTTGTTAGTTAGCTGTCATGGGCTGCTTCCTGGGGGTGGAGGCCTGGTCGAGGACCGGGCCGTGGGGACACTAAAGCCCCGAAATCATCCCAAGATAACCTCAAGATGCCAAAACTAGAAGATAGAAGAAAAAGAGATGATATGATCACTTACAAAATACTAATAGAAATTGACAAAATTGACAAGAGGAATTCCTGAAACCAGCAACTTGACAAACAAGAAGACACAGATATAAGCTAAGGAAACAAAGGGGCCAAAAAATATTAGAGAGTTTTCTTTTACAAATAGAGTGGTAGACGGAAAAAGCTAAGTGAGAAGGTGGAGGAGGGCAAAACCGTCAGTAGTTTCAAAGCGTTATACAATAATGACAAAGACAAAGCAACAAAGAGTACTGGGAAGACAGGACATCACGAGAGTAGCTCTCATCCTGTAACTACACTTAGGAAATTACACTTCACTGTACTTATTAAGTATTTCAGTTTATTATTTTCTCTGTCACTCTCAATGCAATTCAACCTTATTTAGTTTCTTTTGCCCTAAGAAGATAAGTTTCTTAAGAGAATGTTTGATTGTAATCTTTATGATGTTAAACTTCCACAGCCCATTGGAATGAGTCCTCTACACTTAGCTGCACAAAATGGACATTATGAAACCTGTGATCGTCTGTTGTGTGCTGGTATGAACAAAGATGCGCGAAATAAGGTATGTTGCTGTAAGACAAAAATATAAATATACAGTATTAGTGCTTTCTGTTTCATTCAACTTGTATTTAATTTTAATTTATTTTTAACACCTTCAAATTTGTTAAGACATTAAACAATTAAATTTAATGTCATAGGTAATTATTGTGTTTTATATTTATGAGTGCTAGTTTCCTCAGTAGCGATCTGGAGCTTAGGTGCTGGTACTGCATAACATTCCAATCATACCAGGTCCCTAGAGAAGCAAGGGAAATGTGGGGAGTAAAGATTGACACCAAATAAAAGAAGCCACTTAGACAGTCACTGGTGGAACAAAATACACTACTGTTCTTGTTAAAGGAATAATATTAACCACCACACTGCACCGTAATAAAATTTGACCTGTTGCCAGTGTGCAGAAAATAAATTATCCCCCCCTCCCCCAAATTTTCTTCCTACTAATATTGTTAAAAATCATTCCTAAATCACAGGAAACTAAAAAAATATATTGTATGTGACATACTTTGGCTATGTTGGAGCAGGGAAGTTGAGCAATTTATAGGCGCTGAGTGAGGAAGCATTTGGCGATGCTTGCCACAGTGACCCTGTAGGGAATGAGTTGCTGCGAATATAATATAATATATAATTATTTCGATGTCTCTGAATGTTTCTTTCTCTGTTTTTTTTGGGGGGCTAATATTGTTCAATATTAGCTCTAACATTGCACATCATAAAATTCTTTGAAGGAGTGCTAAGTAGCAAGATCACAAACCACATGGAATCAGAGTCTTATGGCATGGTGTTATGTTGACACCACAGTTATGGTGTCTACATAATCCTGGGCAACATGGGATCAGAATAAGGCATTCCTGCCTCACACAATTGCTAGACCACTATGAATAGCCTTAGATACTATGGAAGACAAAATGCTTGATGTAATATACACAGATTTTGCAAAAGCCTTTGACAAATGCGACCATGATATTATTGCACACAAAATGTGTACAATAGGAATTACTGGTAAAGTAGGGAGATGAATCTTTAACTTCCTAACAAATAGACCCCAGAGTGTAATAGTCAACCAGGTAAAATCTGAATCATCCACCATGAAAAGCTCGGTTCCCCAAGGTACCGTGCTTGCTCCAGTACTTTTCCTCATCTTCATGTCAGACATAGACAAGGATACAAACAAGTTACTGTCACAACTACAAGAAAAATGACAGGTTGAATAACAAGAACCTTCTAAGTGAGATGCCATGCCAATGAAGATAGTTTTTAAGACATTAGTGCTCTGTAGAGTGGAATAGTGTTGCACACTAATGACCACATTGAAAGCTGGAGAAATTGCTGACCTGCAGAGTGTGCAAAGATCTTTTACTACAGGGTACTAAAATCCACTTAATAATACATCTAAATTATTGGGACATCCTAAAAATGTTAAATCTGTATTTAACAGATTTGCAGGTGAGTGGATCCCCCCTGAAATCTAGGGAATCACACCCAGGAGGGGTCCACTTACCTACCTTGTAGGTAGGTGCCCTCATTTTTTTTTCCAAGATGGCATCTGTTTACTGGAGTCCTGAGGAAGCAAATCTGAGCCCCGTGTACGTGCTATTCTTTTAAATCTTACATGACACTGCACAATCGTCCCTTAAGGACTTGCGTAGTATGGTCAGAAATAGCACAATCTTCCCTGATTGATCCATGCATTTGAAGGGCTAATATTTATTGTGATCTTAATCTTAATTGTGATCTTACATTATCATACTGTAACTAAAGTTTATTTTACATATCTTTTATAAGATACAGTACTTGTAATTAAAAATATGTATTTTTACATTTTTATTGCTAAAGTAATGTAATACTGTATTTTGCTATTTGTCAACTACTTACAGGTAGAGAAGACACCACTACATCTGGCAGCTATGGAGGGTCATACTGAGATTGTATCTTTACTAGTCAAATCTGGGGCCAACATTAATGCCTGTGATATGGTAAGAATTTATTGTTGTGTTTATTTCTCTGAGTTTGCTTCTCAGGAGCTCCCCGAGCTATAGCACTCGTGTTGTCAAGCCTTAAGGAATCACACCAGGCCTCTGAGACCCACTCAAGCCTACTGACTCTGTCTATGATTTGAGGAAAGCTTGGGATTCAGACATTAACCTAGAATAGAAGGAAAGAAATACCAGAAAAGATAAGCACATTAATTTAGGCAACTGCTTGAAAGGAAATCAGTAATCCATAGAAAATCAAGGCAAGCAATTGCTGCTGTGGTGTAAACACTTTTGCTGTAACATTCACCTGACTGCCACCAGATGGCAGTCCAGGTCACCCTGGTGTCTCCATCAGCCAATCTCTCTCTCTCACTTGCTTGTTTAAGTCAGTGTCTTGCCGTTTTGCTGGGCCTACATTCAGCTTTTTCTTCTTCACAATATGTGCAGTTTACATGAAGGTTCTTCCTCATGATGACTGCACAAGTGGTAATGTAGAAAGATGTGGCATACACAGAGGCACATCAACGGTAAAGAACATTCAGCTTCGTGCTTTCAGTTAAAGTGTTGTTGTCTATTCTTAGAACATTTCAGTCCAGTGATAGCCATCACCATTGCTTTGTTCTATTTCCTGCTTCATGTTTGCATTTTATGCTGCATACCTTACTTGTGTCCTGTACTGTATTTTCATTTACTTCTGATTGTGGCCAATCTATTCATGTGCAGAATAGTCCAGGTGGTCAGTATCTCTCACCCCTGGAGGAATAGGAAGGGGGTTTGTCGTGTCTTCTTTTCTGTGGTGACCCCCTTCGGCTCCCCAAAGCTATACCGGGCTGATGTGTATGTATTAGACCATGGCAACAGTCAATCAATGGGGTTCTAGCCTACCGGGACCACGAACCAGAATCTGGCCCCCCCTCAGAGGGGCATGAGGAGCAATGGCCTATAGACACCCCTATGTAATTGGAAGCAGTCTGTCTGCCATCTACCAAGTCAGGCACCCAAAAAGGTAGGAATCCCAGAACAAACTACAGCTGGTTAAAAATTGCAAACCGAAAGCCGAACAAGCAAGCAAAACTCCCCAATCAGAAAACAAGCAAACAAACATGCATCACCACAGCCGCCGCACTGCTTATGTGGGCCTCGGGTGACAAGTTTTCTATCCAGAACCACCCCTGGATCTCTTTATCAGAATTTTTTAAAGCTTTTTCACATAATTTTTAGGTTATGCATGGCCTGTTTTCTTTATTCCACATTCCATAATATGGTCTTCCCTAGTAGCTTGGCATCATTAGCAAATATGTTCATATAATTCTGTATTCCTTCTTGTAGATTGTTTATATAGACAATGAACATTACTGGTGCTTGAACTGAACCCTGTCACTACTAATAACATTTCTCCAGTCTGATACACTGCCTTTGATTACTGCCCTCTTTTTTTGTGTCAGAAAATTTGTCATTTATATCTACAGTGTGCCTGTTACCCCTCCAATATGTTCCAATTTCCAGAACAACCTTGTATGTGAAATTCTGTCAAAAGTCTTTTCACAGGGAAGCTCCTCGTGGCTCCTTGTAACTATTCACTGAGATGGTTCCCATCTGTCAAGTTGTATCAGCCATGGAGTTCTTTAGGTCTACTGGGGGCAAGTGCCAGAGCCTGGCCCCCTCACAGAGAAGCAGTGAGCAGAGCCATTTCTGTCTCACCAAGGAAGGCAATCAGAAAGTCAGTGAGTCAAAATAAATCACTGCTGGGTTAAAAAAAAAAAGACTAAAGTCTCAAAACCTGCCTAACCAACTCCCCCTTAACTATGTAAACAGTCAAATTCTTTGAAACTGAGTTTGGGGACTTCTATGGCCATTTTAGAGCTTACAGATCTCAGAGGCAGCCAGCTGTGGTTTGTTTTAAATCACTGAGTTTCTGAATACCTTCCTCGGTGGTGGCTTAAATGAATAATTTAATAATGTATATAAATTCCACAGCTCCCTTTCCCTCTGTGAGAAGAGCAGGTTCTGGTGCTGGGTCCTCATTAGGCTAGACAACTCCTCAACTGATGGCACCTAGTAGATGGCAACTACATCAGAGATGGTAACTTCAGGGAGCCACCGGGGATCGCCCAGAAATTGTCCTTTCATTGCATTCATCATTTCTTTTTTTCCCTCAGTTAAAAATGACGGCTCTTCACTGGGCATGTGATAGAGGACATACCTCAATTGTTAAATTACTACTCAAGCAGCGTGCTCAAACTGATATAGCTAACAAGTAAGTGTAGAACTTGCATGATAAAGTAGTTTGGTAATTGTGACATTTTTCCTGGTTCTGTAATTAAGCAGTTTTTTAGTAAAAATTCTAGTTTATTCTTCTCCCTTCAGGTAGTTTTCATTATGGTCCTCTTTCATCATTATTATTATTATTATTATTATTATTATTATTATTATTATTATTATTATTATTCAGATAAGGAGTCACAATAACGTGGCTGAAAAATGTTGACCAAACCACACACTAGAAAGTGAAGAGCCGACGATGTTTCGGTCTGTCCTGGACCATTATCGAGTCGATTGTGACATTATCACAATCGACTCGATAATGGTCCAGGATGGACCGAAACGTTGTCGTCTCTTCACTTTCTAGTGTGTGGTTTGATCAACATTATTATTATTATTATTATTATTATTATTATTATTATTATTATTATTATTATTATTATTATTATTATTATTATTATTACTGTATTATGAAGTTTTGTAAAGAATTACTGAATATATGCTTGAATATATGTATGCTGTACTGTGTGTGTTTATGTGAGGCTTAAATGGTATTACCTGCTTGTAGTTACAGTACTGGAGGAGAGCTTTGCTTGTGGTGTCCCGTCTTCCCATTGCTCCTTTTTTTTCATATGATGTTTTGGAACGACTGATGGTTTGATGCTTTGAAGCTACTGATGGTGTATCATTATTCAGCCCATCCTCCTGTTTTGGTAGTACTTATAGTAACGATGAGGACCGTAGTATATATACCGACGTACGACAAAATTGGAAAGTAGAAATCAGCACAATTGAGTTGAACAAACTGAAAAACTATTTTTTATTTGTGTTGCTGTGACAAACTAACCTAACCTAACATTCCTAGGCCTATTACATGAGGCCTAATATACTGTAGTACATATGTGTGCAATACTAGACCTAGGAATATTTAAATTTGTTTCTTAGCTTCATTTTCATAAAATAATTCCTTACTAATCAGTATACAGTACTACTATCTAAAAGCTAAGTATGTACGAATTCGTGACTATTGACGATCATCACAATAGGTATTATCTAAACAGGAGGATGGGTTGCATTATTATTATCATATGGTTTTGGTTTCTGCCACCCTCTCACTCAACATGTTCCAACTGTCTTCCACTCTGTTTGCAAAATTTACCTTTAGAATGCTTTTTTGACAGCTTTGTTTCCGTAGTAGAACCGATGTCCTCTTGTTGTTGAAGTTGCAGTTTTTAAACGTTCTTTTTTGTATTTTAATTTTTGTTAATTTCTGTTACTATTTTATTTGTAGTGATCATATCACCTTATATTCTATCTTCAAATTTTGGCATACTGTATTGGCATACTGTACCTAAAACTTCTCCTTGTAGCCCTTGCTGTTTAGTTTTGGAAGTCATTTATTTGCATGTCTTTGAACTTTTTGCAGTTTATTGATGTTCTTCCTGAGCTAAGAGCATCATACAGCTGCTACATATTCCAATTTTGGTCTCACAAACGTTGTGAATTTTTTTTTAATATTATACCATCCATGTATTGAACAGTGATTCTATAATTGGAAATCGTCACACATGCTCCTCGCACAATATTTTGTATGTGGTACTTGGGTGACAGTTTCCTATTCAAAACCAAGCCTAGATCTTTTTCTTTATCAGAATTCTCAAAGCTTTTTCACATAATTTGAAAGTTGAGTATGGCTTATCATCTATTCCATTCCATAACATGGCATTTACATTAAATTCCATTTGCCACGTGCCACTCCACACTTATTTTGTCCAAGTCTTCGTGTATGTTAAATAAATAATCTACTTTTCATATCTTTCTTAGTATCTTAGCATCATCAACAAACACATTCATATGATTCTGTATTCCTTCTAGTAGATTGTTTATATCGATAATGAATATTACTGGTGCTAGGACTGAACCCAGTGGAACTCCACTGGTAACACTTTTTCAATTTGATAAAGTGCCTCTGATTACTGCCCTCATGTTTCTTTCAGTTAGAAAATTGCTCATTTATGTCAAAAGTCTTTCTTTTCAGCTTTCAGTATGTTACAGTTTTTCAGAACTTCATTTCCAGTACTGTTGAAAGCCCTTTTCTGGAGGGAGCATCTTGTGGCTCCCTGAAGCTAGAGTACTGATATAGTGCCAAATTACTAGGTGTTATCAGTCGTGGAGTTCTTTTAGGTCTACTGGGGATCAAGTGCCAAAAACTGGCCTTTCTAAAGAGACAGAGAGTGGTGGCACTATGATAAAATTGCCAGTGAATTTTAATCATGTCCACCATCACTGGGAAAGCACCCACAAAGTCAGTGAAACAAAACAAACCACTGCTGATTATAAGGAAGTGCTGATGCCTCACAATCTCCAAAAGGTCTTCCCCCAGCAACGTAAGCAAATGATAAAAAAATCATGAAACTAGTGCAAGCTCGTTTGCCCCATCCTCTTTCCTGTTTGTTTTAGGGGAGGAGGGAGGTTTCTCCCTCTTCCCCTAAAACATGGCGCCTTTCTCATGGCCACCCCCAACGGAGCATTCCCAATACCCTAATGAGAGCATCTCTGGGAAGCTAATGAGGATACTAGACTATTATTAAAATTTTAATCCAATAAGAGAGATGCTTTATCTATGGTTATTATTTTCCAGATTCTCTAAAACACCTTTCCACTTGGCTGTAGAAAAAGGACATGAAAATATTGTTCTGCTACTGCAGGTAACTTACTTATACACTTGTGCATTTATATATCGCTTTGTGATTTGTTTTGAACTGTAGCCATATAGTTCATTTATTTTATTTATTATATAGAACATTTATATTAAGCCAGTAACAAATTATAAAAAACCTGCATTGAATGTAATGAAATGCCAATTTCTGGGTGATCCCCAGTGGATCCCTGAAGCTATCTTGCTGAGATGGCCCCTAACTACTGGACTGTATCAATTGTGGGGAATGAGTTTGGCTCAAAGGAAACCAAAGCTGGAGCCTGGTCCCAGATCACAGAGGCACAGAGCAGGTGACACTCCACCACCTCACTGGGCAAGGCACGCAGAAAGACAGCGAACCAATATATACCATTACTGAATTCAAAGAGACTGAAGTCTCACAATTTACCAAACAAACTTCCCCAACAATGTAAACAAGCAATTGAAAACGTCTCAACAAGAGTGCACTCATTCACTCCACCCTCTCCCACTTGTTTAGGGAGGGAGTGAGGACAGGGCTCACACTGTCCATTGGCTGAAGTCTTCAGTTCTGGAGCATTTGCATGCCGAACAACAACAACCGACAACCTGCAAAGGAGGGAGGGGAGAATCAGGGAGCTAATTGGGCTTTCCCAGAAATTGGCATATCATTACATTCCACACTGATTTTCTGGGGGAGGGGGTGCCTCTTGTGACTCCCTGAAGCTAACTAACCACAGATAAGAAAAACAGTGAGGAGAAAACCAAGGAAACGGGATCGGCAAACAAAACATCCACTAATGTAGAAGCATGGGCATGAAGGTAGCGACCAAAAACCACCACCAGGCACAGCACATGCTGCAACCCTATCCAAACCAAGCAACAACAACCTAAGGTCCCCTCCAAAAGTCAGCCGACTCATTCTCCACCAAAAAAAGAAGCTGGCCGCTCATGAACAAATTGCCAACCATGGCCAAAAGAGCAAACACCCCGTCTCCACAAGTGTGGCACATCTGCAAACACTTTCTCCTGACCTGGGTCAAGACAGGGACAATGAGACCCCTGACAAAACCAAGGCAAGGGGGTCACCCCAAACGGGAAGAACGTCTGATGGAGTAAACTCCCAATATCACCAGAGAGGAGAACTCTGACAGTGCAGGGCCAGCACTAGAAAACACTCAGAGAAGGGAACCCCTGAGCACATACAGCTCTAAGCACTCTAAAAGCCAAACCCAGGCTTTTCACAGTGGGAAAAACAACACACAGGACAAATTCCAGAGAAGCACTTTGTCAAAAAGCACCAGTGCCTGCCATAGCTGCACACAACCCTAGGGCCCTACTGGAGATGTATGGAATGCATTGCACCAATATAAGAACTGAGGGCTTGAATCGGTGAATAGTATGCCCCTGACCTCCACCCTTCCCAAATGAGTGAGGCAAACGAGTGCACGCTTGTTTCGAGAAATGTTCGATCATTTGTTTTCATTTTTTGGGAGTTTGTTTGGTGGGTTGTAAGGCGTTGGTGTCTTTGAACCCATCAGTGGTCTGTATTGGTTTGCTGACCTTCTTAGTGCCTTCCCAGTGAAGTGGCAGAATGTCACCTGCTCTCTTTCTTTTGTGAGGTCGGCAGGTTCTGGCTCTGGTCCCTGGTAGGCCAAATCCCACAGCTGATGCGATCCAGTAGTTAGGAGCCATTTCAGCTTCAGGGAGCCACAAGGAGTTCCAGCCAGAAAAATGTCATACAAAGCCTGTTGTGATCATGCAGACAATGAGTCATAATAATTTGGCAGAAGAAACGGTGATCAAACCTCAATTCAGAAGATGGAGAAGCGATGACGTTTTGGTCCGTCCTAAACCATTATCAACTCATGGGAGATTGACTTGATAATGGTCCAGGACGGACCATATCCAAACGACTTGATATTGGTTCAGGACAGACCGAAATATCGTCGCTTCTCCATCTTCTGAGTTGTGGTTTGGTCATCATTTCTGTTGTGATCATTATTATGAGATATATTTAATATAAATTTATGAAAAATAATTTAAATTAGTGCATGTTTTCAATAAATAAACATATGCAGGTTATTTTTACTGTTAAAAATAATAACGATAAATGAATACAGTTTATTAACTGAGTATTAAAGTTATCATATGTTGATTTTAGATAATATTGTATAGTTTTATACCCATGATGCTAATATGTATATACAGTACTGTAATGGCTCGATAAAAAAACAGCATTGAATGTAATGAAACGCCAAATCTAGGTGAGCCCTGGTGGCTCCTTATAGCTAATATCTCCAATGTGTGTATTGCCTAACAGGTCCCATGCGTTGCGGAGTTCTCTGGCCTACTCAGGGACCACAAGCCAGAATCTGGTCCCTATCCCCCTTGCAGAGGTGTAGGGGGGCATTGTCATCTATTTTGTAAATGCCACCAGCAGGGAAGGCATCCAGAAAGTCAGTGAGACAAAGCAGACTGCAGCTGACTACTTCCTATACCCACAGTTTTGAAAATGGCCGTAGAACTTCCCAAAATTAACCACTGCACTGCTCGACCTTAAAATAAGACAAACCCGTGGTTTGCCGAAAATAAATTGCAAAAAATTTTTTGTTCTTCCTAAAGTGTTAAATACCCTTCCCTGATCACATGTCTGTTGAAAATAATTTTACAAGTGTACTTACTTTGGCCACAGTGGTGGCAACTTTGCACTCACCGCACTAGGTGCAGATGCATCTTCGCTTGCATTCCATATGTTGTGTGTTCTTGCAGACAATGCAGGCATGTTTACCTGTTTCCCATGTGCCTGTGCCTGGCATATAACTAAGCTTGTGTACAGCCAGAATGTCCTTACCCCTGAGTCTGTCAGGAACTGCGTGAGGCATTGTTGCTGGCACCCCACGCGCTGCAACACAACCCTCCACCCTATACTTCACGAGAAGTTGTGACACTAGAACAACACTGAATGTACATATTGGGGGGTCTCTTGCCAGATTTCATGAGATAAATGTTGAAACAGTTCAACACTGCAACATCAATGAGAAGGAAAACAAATTTGCTTTGATGGCATCAAAGCATCAACCAGGTTGTGATTCATACGTCAGGCTGCGAGTAGCCGTGTCCAACAGCCTGGTTGACCAGTCCAGCAACGAGGAGGCCTGGTCGATGATCAAGCCGTGGGGACGCTAAGCTCCAAAAACGCCTCAAGGTAACCTCAAGGTAGGATGGAATGTACTGTTTGAGCGCCAGTCGTCCCTTGAAGAGGACTAGCAAGTCATCAATCACAACATTCTGTCATGGTACAAAATAGTCATGGAACTTTCCTCTCATATGTCTAAATATCTTCCTCACAGTCTGTCCTGTCTGTCTTCATTATCATTGTTCTCAATGTGCAGGCACCTGAGAAGCAACAGGAACCTATCACGTGACATGTACCTGTTGAACACGGGGAATGGAACAAGGCTGTCTTTGCTCCAATAATCCTGGATCATGTGTTTTTCTGAATGCATCATCATGCACAATGCTAAAAACATACATTTCCTCATTTGTCGTGGCTTTCCAACTTGTCATGCGAGAGGCAGGTAAAATGCCAGAGTCAATGAGGCTGTGAGCATACTGTATCTGTTCATCTCTGCAATAAGATGGTCCATGAATTCCTGATCAAAATATGCCATAAAATAGTCAATTTCAGCCATATCATCACCAGTATAGTGGAATATGGGTGTCACACCAACATCGGTATTATCAAATGTTGGAATTTGTGGGACAAAAGTCTCACAATCCTCCCACACAAGTGCACCAGTGGTTTTGGCGCCAACACCACCGCCACCACCAGCACGAGCACCAAAAGCACGGCTCTGTCGGTTTGTGCTAGAGCTGCATATGGGTATGCCAGGAGATGAGTGTTCTGCGTAGTGTAGGCCTACTATGAACACCTGATGTCGAGGGAACACTGTCTTCTTTGTCCTCAGACTGTGTGACTTGTTGCCGCTTGCCTCGGTGTGTTGCTTAGGCAGCAAAACCCCGCCTAGTAACACCATCGCTGCTTGTAGTCGGTTCGTCAGCACTGGTTGTATCAGAGCCTATGTCACTGAAGCCCGAGAATGATTCATCACATGTAGTATCACTAAATAAACTCACATCAGGGGATACACACACATGGTGATGGTGACTAGCGGTGTTGACTCAGGGCGGTGAGGCAGGCCGGGCGTGGCACGTGTACGGTACACACTCGCGACATCGTCCACCTCCGTGTCCATATCGCACAAGTTCGACCCCTGTGTTAGGTCTTTTTCAGGACTGTAGTCTAAATCATCATGCATCGTTCCATCATCATACAATATGTCCTGTATTTCGTCCTCTGAGAGTCGTTTTGCTGGACTGCGGCTGACCGTGGACCGGGAGCTCGTAGACGATGCATCAGACATGGTTGCTTCCTTGAAACTAAGGGTCACCTGACCCCTGGGGTATGCTGGGATTGTTTTTCAAAATGGCGGATGATCACTGGAGGCCTCGGGCATCCTTTTTGTACCCACATCACCGCGCGCCACTTTCGAATCGTACATTATAACTATGAGAGCTCTGAGGTGCATTGCCCACCACCCATCGAGAGTCTCAAGGCGCGTTGCGCAGTGCAGTGGTTAAGGCCTAAAGTATACTTACTGGTTGGTCAGTAAGCTATTGTGGTGGCCCTAATAACCTTTCTAAGGTTGATAGGCCTTAAGCCCAAACAAAACCAAATCACCATTGACCATTAATTGTACTACCCATTGTTGCACCACTGAGGCCACCACTGACACCATGTGGCCTTTCCTTACCCCCCCTCCTCCTCAGATATGATGGATTAGTCATATATAAATGTGGCTTTTACATTTTGATTAACTTGTATTTCTTCACAATTGGTAACACTACACTTGTCTTCTTTAGTCTTCAGCATACCTCTAGTGGAATGAAGGTCTTGCCAAATCATTTATAGGGTTTTGAGACAACATAATAGAAGGATGTTGATGCAATTATGCAATAAATTTAAGGCAAGATTGGGTGTTATCAAACTAAAACAGAGCCAAATTTCACCATGGCCCCCCTCCTGAATCTGAAAATTGTTCTGTTATTCAAAATTTAAAGGAGACAACCCTTTAGCAAATTTGAGCCTTTAATTTGCAATTTGGTGTTCAAAGTTTATGGAAAAGATCCAGTCTGAGCTAGAAGCTCTGGCTATGGCTTCTACTTTAGCCTTGTCAATAAAGGCAGCTATTAACTCTGCCAACACAAATCAAGATTGGATCCAGAACAATACAGTCAAGATTCATTAGCCAGTAATTAACAATGAGCAGTTCAAACCCTGAATATCGCACATTACATCTGGATTACTTATAGCTGAAAATAATGTATTTGACTTATGTATTGTATTCACAAATTCAATATCATATCTAAACTGATCCTTTCCTCACTTGGTCTACATGTTATTTTATAGAATGGCATCAGCTGCAAAGAGGAAGAAGCTGTAGCAGTGGAATCCATTTCACTAGACTTGACGCATGACCTAGACACTATTCCTGTTGTCTGTAAAACTGAAGAAGTTCATACAGAGGAGTTGCTTATTGAAGAAGTGAGTCCTAATTTTTAGAGCTAGTTTTATTTCATTGAATTACTGAGTGTGTTACTTTATTTTATTTAGTATTAATTGGTTTGCCATAATTTATTTTAAAACCAGTGAAAATAAAATTAAAGTAAGACTTATTCCAGTATTTGTTTATTGCTACTTGTAAAAAGTGCTTGAAGTCTAAATTTTGTTGATTAATTTCAAGATTATTAGGGCAGAGTTCTAGGGCATGAATCCAGAAACAGAGATGACGAATGTGACTTGGCAAAATTAATTTTATGACAAATGTATTTTTTTAAACCTATTGTAGATTTTTTGCTTGTTGACTGAAGAGAGTTATTTGATGCATGAATTTCAAAAATAAAATGAAGAAGATAACTGCTGTGATTACCCATGCTACATGTAATGATGGAAGTGTGAATGCAAAACATAGTTTTCTGGGGGGAGCCCCTTCAGTTTCCCGGAGCTATGCGGGCTGATATGAATGTATAAGATCCTGGCATTAGTCAATGTGCATGGAGTACTAGACCTACCGGGGACCACAAGGCAGAACCTGGACCCCTCAGAGAGGCATGAGGAGCAATAGCCTATAGAAACCACCGTGTGGTTGGAAGCATTCTATGTCTGTCATTGACCGGGTCAGGCACCCAGAAAGGTAGGCACCTCAAAACAAACCCCTGTTCTGGTGAAAATATTGCTACTGAAAGCCAAACGAGTGAACAGAACTCCCCAAATGAAAATGAACAAACGAGCATGACATCACCACATCACTGTCCTGCTGTCTGCACAACCGGCTCCCCCCCTTCTTCCTGGGAAGGGGAAGCCCCCAGACCTCTGCACCAGTTATCCACCCTTTAGTTCTGTGGCTGATGTGGAACCGGCAAGGTCGTGTGCCTCTGGCTCCAGAATTTTTCAGTTCTGTGCCTAGTGGTGTGGTGCTGTCTCTACGGTGGTGTGCGAGTCAGGAGTAATTTCTCCAGTACTTGGGCTGCATGCGCCTAGGATTCCCTTCCCTAGGTGCCCTGTAAGTACTGCCCTTGGGGGCTTGGGGTTACCCTCCACAAGTCACCGTGGGATCTATCTCCGCTGTGTCATTTGCTGCTCAGTGATTGATCGCCCTTGGAGTCGGCTGGGGTGTTTCTTGCTCCCCTACTTGCCTCGGGGTAGGGGAAGTTTTCGTCACTGGTTAGGGCGCAGGGTACTGTAGATAGTTCTCTTCTCTCATAGTGGCTGGCTCTGTTCCGCCTGGGCACGCTGTCCTCTTGCAGGGTTTTTCTTTTCATTTTTGTTTTCCTGCCTGGTGAGGGTCTGCCCCTTGGTTTGGTCACACCCTATTGTATCTTGGTGGTCCTCCACTAGGCCCCTCGCGAGTGTACACGTTTCAGGGGTTCAGCTTTAGCAGTTTGCTTGGTAGTTTTTGGGTGCTGGTTAGTAGTACCCTGCCTGGGCTTCCCTTAGCGAGATAATGCAAGTAAGGGCCCTGGGAAACCCCACAGGGGCTCTTTGGTCTCATGGATGCGATCCCTGGGTCCCCCCCTCGTTTCATGTGAGTTTGAAGGTTGCTCTGTCTCTTTGTCTTTCTCACGATTGTTGGGTTCGGCCTCCAGAGGGTCTTGCGTCAGTTGCTGCATCGCTGGTTTCCTCTTTGAGTATTTTGAGGTTCGGTGCATTGATGCCTACTCTCACCCTCGCCCAATGTGTTCACGGATGCGTCATCTCTTGGCTGGGGCTTTGTGACCTGTGATCACCAAGTCAGCCAGGGATGGTGGGGTTCGTTCTTCCGTTGGGTTCATAGCACAGTGCGGGAGTTCGCAGCGGTGTGGATGTCGCTTCGGAGGGTGCAGGTCGTTCGCGGATCAACGATCTGGCTCCTTTCGGACTGCTCTCCATTGGTTCATTGCCTGAACCGTGGGGGTTCGCTGAGATCCTTGGCTCTTTGGGGCTAGTCGCTTTGGGTGACTCATCTGTTGAGTTCTCGGGGTTTGGCTCTCCTGGTCATTCACGATCGGGGGCGTCCAATGTCCTGGCGGACGGCCTGTCTCGGTTCGTTCCCCTGTCCACAAAATGGACGGTCGATGCCGGCACGTTACGTGGCTGGTTCGATCTTCTCATGTCTTCTCCTCAAGTCTTCGCATCTGGTCTCTCTGATGCGAGTCTACAAAACTGAGACAAAATCTGGAGCCAGAGACACGGCTTTGCCAGTATCATATCAGCCAAGAACTGAGAGTGTGGATCACCGGTACGAGGGTCTGGGGCTCCCTCTTCCCTCTCCCAGGGAGGTGGGGGGGGGGGTTGCACAGACAGCGGCGAGGCAACATGGTGACGTCATGCTCATTTGCTAATTTTCATTTGGGGAGTTCTGTTCACTCATTTGGCTTTCAGTAGCAATATTTTCACCAGAACAGGGGTTTGTTTTGAGGTGCCTACCTTTCTGGGTGCCTGACCATGTCAATGGCAGACATAGAATGCTTCCAATCAAACGGGGGTTTCTACAGGCCATTGTTCCTTGTGCCTCTATGAGGGGGCCAGGTTCTGGCTCATGGTCCCGGGTAGGCCGGAACTCCATGCACATTGACTGATACCAGAAAGCTAATACTGTATATCCAAATCAGCCTGGATAGCTCCGGGATCCTCCGGGTCACACCCAGAAAATGGCGTTTCATTATATTCAACATTGATTTTTGTATTTTTTAGGTTTGCAAGGAGGAGGAAAACATTCCACAAGTGAACAGCGAATTACCTCAATCTATCATGGCAGATGATGCTGATGGTTAGTCATGATGACCCACTGTACTTGTTTAGAATACACAAATATTCTCACAAGTTATATTTAGTTTTTGTAAAATAAAGTAAATTACAGTTCCTTACACTATTGCATGCCATAGCATACAAGACCTCATTCTCCTTTGAAAATGAACATGTGAAAAATGATTCCTATTCAGGATTTAGTGACCATTATTCAAGTAATAACAGCATTGTTTAGCAATGTGCATAGTATATCAAGTGGCCCTTTGCTTTATCATTTGCCATTGGCAACTAACAACATGTCTTGACTGTGGACTGTGCTGTGCATGGATCAATGATTATAAGATTATCACACCAACTAGAACTGATTAGTGGTTTGTAATGGTGTGTAAAATTGTATTAATAAATAACATGTGTAAACAGTGTAATAACAGCAGAAAGTGTGTTTTATTGTACAAAGAATATAATATTGTGCACATATTAGTGACACAAATACATATTTGTGTCTGCGCATTGTAGTATAAATATCATTCTGGGTGAGCCCCCAATAGTTCTGAAAATCTCTCTCTCTTGACATTGCTCCATGCAAATGGGTCACATCAGAAACGGTAGTTCTGTTTTGCCTACTGAGACCAGAGCCAAAACCTTGCCCCATCACAGAGACGCAAAGAGCAAGTGACAGTTCACCAGGAAAGCGTCCAGAAAATCTGCAAAGATGTACAATTATGGTCTGCATGTATCGGTGCCTGTAATGTCTGGGGCTCTTACAGTGAATAATTACAAGGCACGTTTACACTCAGCGGCGGTCTTGCAAGCTTGGGTCCTCATAGAGGGGCTATGTTGGGAGCTCCATGAGGAGCTTTGTACTTTGTACAAAGCACATGTACATGTACTTTGTACATGTACTTTGCTTGGTACATTCCAGGTGTGAAGACCTTAAAACCTTGGCAGCCTTGCCCAAAATGCTCGCCCAACTCCTTAGAGAGGTGGTGGCAGCATTTTGCTTGGCCCTCCTCGCATGTTGACAGGCCATGTTGGCCCATTCGTTAGATTCAATTTGGTCCCTTTCTTGCCTCTCCTCTTTCCAGAGGATGCAGTGTCTGTTTGTGGTGGCTGTCTCCTGTTGGCCTATTGACCATTGGTTGTTTTCTTGGGCTTCTTGGGATCTTTCTTGCTGTTGGTTGAGGAAGGTCCTCAGGAGGATCAGAATCCCAGGACATTGCGCATCCTGTTGAGAATTCCTTTTCTGCTAGATGTCGTAATTACATATTACGGAAAGGTGGGTCTGCTCATGGTTCATGCCGGTCTTTTCGCATTCTGCTCCTTTTGTGTCATAATGAGGTAATTACCTAAATGTAGTTACAGGATAGGAGCTACGCTCTTGGTAGCTCCAAGTAAACATCAGTGTTTGCTGATGATGCTAAGATAATAGGAAGGATAAGAAACTTAGATGATTGTCATGCCCTTCAAGAAGACCTGGATAAAATAAGTATATGGAGCACCACTTGGCAAATGGAATTTAATGGGAATAAATGCCATTTTATGGAATGTGGAATAGGAGAACATAGACCCACACAACTTATAAACTATGTGATAAATCTTTATTGAATTCTGATAAAGAAAGAGATCTAGGGGGGGTTCTAGATTAAAAAAACTATCACCTGAGGACCACATTAAGAACATTGTGCGAGGAGCCTATGCCACGCTTTCTAACTTCTGAATTGCTTTTAAATACATGGATGAAGAAATACTAAAGAAATTGTTCATGACTTTTGTTAGACCAAAGCTGGAATACGCAGCGGTTGTATGGTGCCCATATCTTAATTTAAGAAGCACATCAACAAACTGGAAAAGGTGCAACGACATGCCACTAAGTGGCTCCCAGAAATGAAGGATAAGAGTTACGAGGAGAGGTTAGAGGCATTAACTACGCAAAAACTAGAAGATAGAAGAAAAAGAGGCAATATGATCACTACATACAAAATAGTAACAGGAATCGATAAAATTGATAGGGTTTCAGAAATTCCTCTTTGTCAATTTGGTCGATTCCTCTTAGTATTTTGTAAGTGGTGACGGTGATAACTCTTTTTCTTCTATCTTCTAGTTTTGGCATGTTTAACGCCTCCAGTCTTTCCTCGTAACTCTTGTTTTTCAGTTCTGGAAGCCATTAGTAGCATGCTTTTTCACCATTTCCAGTTTATTTATGTGTTTCTTGAGATTTGGGCACCATACAGCTGCTGCATATTCTAATTTTGGTCTCACAATAGTCCTGAACAATTTAAGTATTTCACCATCTATTTACTTTAATTAAATGCAAATCTGAAGTTGGAAAACGACACAGAAAGAACGAGATCCCTAGGTCTCGTTCTTTATTAGAGTTCTGAAATTTCTTTCCACACAATTTGTAAGTTGTGTGTGGTCTATTTTCTCCTTTTCCACATTCCATAACATGGAATTTATTTTCATTGAATTCCATTTACCACTTGACGCTCCAGTCACTTATTTTATCTAGATCGATTTGAAGGGCATTACAATCATCTGCGTCTCCTATCTTTCCCAGTATCTTAGCATCATCCATAAACATGTTCATAAAATTCTGTATTCCTTCTGGTAGATCGTTTATGTAGACAATAAACATTACTGGTGCAAGAACTGAACCGTGTGGTACTTTGCTATTAACACTACTCCAGTCAGATACACGGTCTCTGATTGCCACTCATCTGTCTATCTGTCTGTCTGTCAGTTAGAAATTTTTTCATGTATGTTAGAAGTTTGACTTATTTTGCTAGTTGCTTGTCACAAAATTCATGGGCTTTTTGGGTCATTTTCCACAGCCTGTGGTGGAGTTATTCAGTCTTTACCCCTTTCTTGGGGTCAGGATTTCCATTTTGTCTCGGTCTGTCTCGTACTAGAGGAAGATACTTAGATGGTTTCCTTGGACTTCTGGGATGCATATTGGCATGTTCCTATACAGTCAGGATTCAGAGGTTGGCTGGGTTTTGTGGTGGGGGCAGCAAGCTTACCACTTTTGGCTTTGCCTGTTTGGCTCAATCTAGCTCCATGCATGTTTACACACTTGACTCAAGTCATGGCTCGTCTTCACTTGTTGGGGGTTCATGCTTTGGCTTGCCTTGATGACTTCGTTCTGTCAAAAGATTTAGACTTGTTTGGGACTCTGTCTGCATCACTTTCCCTGCCTTTAAAGGCCTTAACCCAGCTGCAGCACCACTGTGTTTTGGTGTCGAGTCGGCCCCAGGTGACTTCACGGTTGCTCAAGCAATTGTGCTGTAGCCTGAGCTTTTGCCTGCATAATTTTTCCTTTTGCAGAGTGTGGCTTCAGTGGCTGTTTTGGTATCTCCAGAGCAGTCTCTTTCACTGCTTCTGCTGCAACTATTGGGTAAAAGGCTCGGTTGGCCTTTTGCTGGCTGCTGCATTGCCGACTTCCTATTCGGGCTTTGCGAGGTTCACTTTCCTCCACCTTCACTCACCGTCTTGACAGATGCCTCAGCTCTGGGTTGAAGTTTTGTGACCAGCACTCACCAACCCTGCCAGGGTCATTGGTCCCTTCTCCTTTGTCAGGTTCATAGTACTGTTTGGGTGTTTGCAGCTGTGTAGCATGTGCTGTAGTGGGTTTGGATTCCTTCAGGCTCCGTGCTCTGGACTGTTTTCCCTTGGTCCTCTGTCTAAACTGGGGGGTTTTCCTTGGTTTTCTGTCTAAACTGGGGGGTTTTCCTTGGTCCCGGTCTCTTTGGAGCTAAATGCTTTGTGTTGCTTTTCTCCGGGTTCTTGGGGTTTGTTTCCTCGGTTTTCTGTGCTGTTCATGTCCATGTAGTGTCCAACATTCTTGCAGAGGGTCTGTCCCGGTTCCTTCTTGTTTCCATGGCACGGACTGTTGATGTCATCCACCTCCAGTGGTTTTGCTGGACATTTGAGCATCTGGACGTAGACCTCTTCACATTGACATGGAATCACCTCTTTCCCTTGTATGCAGCTGCATTCCCTGATTGCTAGACACTCATGGTGGATGCCTATCAGCTGGACTGGTTGAGGTGAGTATTTCCTGTACCTCTTTTCCCAACCTAGCTCTTGCTCCGGGTTTAGGTTAGGTTGGAGTCCTAACTGAGGAGGAGGATCCTTCTGGCACCTGGTGGCTGGCTCAGATTTGGTTTCAGGTGCTGCTTGCTCAGTGTCTGAGCCTGGCCATTTTTCTGTGGTTCTACCTCAGTCATAAGGTTGGGCCAGTGACATACTTTCTTGGTTCGACATTCTCCTCCGCTCTTTGCGTCTGGAGTTTTTGATGCGTCTTTATCACAGTCTTTATGGCAAGCAGGTGACTTCTTTAATGATGTCCTACCTGCATTCGTCTTATTGGCAACAGTATGAGCTTTCATTGTGTTCCTTTCTCCATTTCCTTTCTCTTCATCATTGTTATTCTATTTCTGTGCAGGTGGTGGTTTCTTTTTGTTTTTTACTTTTTCTTGATTAGCATCTCATGCTGAATACTGTCACCTTATATCACGCAGCACTGATAGAACTGCCACAGCATGCTGGTAGCATACTGCTGCAACAGGTCAATACTGCCTCGGCTTCATTTTGCCAGCTGTCTTTGCACCTTGTTTCACCTCCAGCCTGTTGATGTTCCACCTAAGCATGCTTCTAGACAGTGTTCTTGAATTTCCTTCTCGTTTTATGGTGTCTCCTTCGGTCTGTTTTCCTATAAGTCATTGATTTTGGTTTCTCTTGCCTCCAGTTGTTGGGTTGGGGAGCTTCATGCTTTCTTCCCTGGGGTGGAGTTTTTGTTCTTTTGGTCCTGATGGGTATTTTGTTTGCTCTCAGGTGACTCCCTCATTTCTAGCAAAGAACGAGTAAGTTGGCTCTAGAGGGGTCCTTTGGTCATTAATGCTTAGTTCATTCAGCTGGGGTTGTATCGGCACAGCACTTGTCTGATGGATCGGGGGGGAGGGGAATGTGGGGCAAACAAGCTGGTGTTAGTTACATGAAATTTTGGTTGCGTATTTACATTGTTGGAGGAGTTCTATAACTTTGTTGAGGCTGCAGTCTCCTTTAAAGCCAGTAGTAGTTTGTTTTGTTTCACTGACTTTCTGGGTGCCTAACTCGGTGGTGGCATAAACAAATAATTTATTATATAAATACCACTGCTATCCCTCACCTCTGTGAGGGGGCTAGGTTAGTTCAGGAACTAGGTGAGGGGACCTCTTGGTCCCCAGTAGGCCATAGAATTTTGCAACTGATGGGGCCTAGTAGTATGGCACACTATCAGAGATAGTAACTAGCCACCAGGGCTCAACCAGAAATCAGTGTTTCAATACTGATTTTTAGAGCTGATTTTATGCCATATATATGTACAGTATATGGTAGTAAATTAAATTTAATAGAGTATTTGAACATTTTCAGATCAAAACATCTCTGTACTGGCAACACTGGCTGAACTGGCACAAGCTACATCTAAAGGAACAGAAAGTAATGTAGGTAAGGAGTGATTATTGATTTTAATGTTGCATATTAACCCTTCTACTGTGCGATGCAGTGAGGGATACCTTACCTTAAGATTACAGTACCTTGAGATGATTTCGGGGCTTAGAGTCCCTGCGGCCTGGTCCTCGACCTCTATCAGGGATGTTCTCAACAAATATGCATAAACTGCATGCCATAATCAAGGATGTTTTAAAGCATCGCATAAAAATGTAAAAGTCCTGCCCCATAAACGTGGCAACCATACACTGTCAAAGGGCAATAGTAAACATCTGCTATCTTGAAAATATCATGAGTAGGCTGAATTGGTGGGAAGGCCTTGGTTTGTATCATGGGTAACGCACAACGCTTCACCACCCAACACCACACTGTGGCTTGCTCCAGAAATTTGCCTATGGATGAAGAGATTCAGAAGAAACTGATGAAAACAGATGACGAAAGTGACTTTCATGATTCAGATAAGGATAAAAATTATGGACATGGCTTAGAACAAAGTAATACAAACAGTGATATTGAGGCACATGTGTCTGCCCTGAAGCTGAGGCCTATACCATCACCACTCCCATTGTGGCCCCATTCCACACCACCACTTCCATCGCGAGAAAAGTGCAACATGCACTTAAGGCCATGAAAATGTGAAAGATGACTCATTTTCCAGATTTAGTTACCAGGAATCTAATTGTAGTTTTAGCAATGTTGTGGCTAGCGGCAGCAGTATACGTGATGTTTTTGATGCAGCTCTGCTGTGTCAACTGCTTCCCCAGCCAAATGCCACCGTGTGATGTTGCATGGGGAAACTGAGGGACAAATGCCCTCATCTTTAGCTGTTTGTGCCTGCAATGTACATAGACAGGCTTCATCTCCCTGCCAATGTTTTGTTGGTGCTAGGATTAATGGCTGTGGTGTTGGTGATGCCTCCACCAGAATAGCAAGTATACTCGTGTGGGGAGATGGTGTGCACTTTGTTCCAGAAATCTACATTTGACGATACAGGTATTGGGATTACAGACATTTTCCCTTATACTTATGAAGTCGAGTGAGATGGAGTATTTTACATCATATTGTACTATACTTCGATGAACTACTCATAGAACATATTGTTCAGAAAGTGAACTGAGACGCTGCCAAACTTATTGGAACTGAGGGCATATATGATATTTGGGATTGCAGAACAGGAAGGACACCACTGTAGCTGAACTGTGTGTGTTTCTTGCCTTCTGTATGGTGATGAAATGCATCATCCAGTATTATTCGAACAGAGACTGTTGTCCTGTCACTTATTTTCAAAAAATATATTTCTTGCAACAGGTATCTGTTACTTCTCAAGTGTGTTCATTTTGAGAACAGGGACAAACTGAATGCAGACTGTGGAAGGCGAGGCACATCCTCTATGAATTCAAAGGGAGTTACGGTACAAAGATTTTTATGTACCAGGTCCGAAGCTGGTGATGGATGAATCACTTGTGCTTTTGTGCTTTTCAAAGGATGTCTTATTTTCAAGCAGTACATTCTTCCCAAACACCACAGATTTGGACTTGACTTCTTTGTTCTGTGTAAGTGTGAAACAGAAATGGTGATATATATGATACTTTACTCAGGAACTGATGTAGACATTTCCAATAACAATCCCTACAGATTTTCAGGCAGTGTAATAAAGACCTTCACTACTCTACTGCTGAACAAGGGCCACATTTTATACACAGCCAATCAAGGATGTCTGTGTTTTATTATACCAGTTCCTGGCTAACGAGGTTCCTGCTTGAACATAATACTGTAGTGTGTAGCACAATAAAGTCACATAGGAGGACACTGCCAGTGTTTGACAATAATATTGTAGCAGATGAATGTCAACTAAGAAAAGGTGACAAAATGCTTGCAGTGCATTGGAAAGACAGATGAGAAGTAAATAAGTTGCCAACCATTCACACTGGTAGGTTGGTGAACATTAGTAAGGTCAACAAAGCAACCAAAGAACCAATATATAAACCAGATTGGGTTACGAACTATAACATAAAGATACAATTGATTAATAAGTGTGAGATGATGGTTGGTACTGTGGAGTGTGTATATAAAGCTGTAAGATGAACCAAGAAGTAATTTTACCACCGTATTGATATAGCCATATTAAACAGTTTCAATATGTCTGTGAGGAAATCTCAGCTCAACATTGTCTCATACTCCTCCAAACAGAGTGGCTTTCAAAGAGGGGTTTCAGTTACACAAAATTTAGTATATACCAGCTGCTGGAAAGCATGGAAGAGACCATTGTGAGTGCATTGTTTGTAAGGAGGCCAAAGGCATGAAAAGTAGTCACAACTTGGTGCAAAGAGTGTAGCGCTGCCCTGTGTCATGTGAACGGCTTTCAGTTAGTATCTCTTGAGTCATTGCGTGAGCCATGAGGGTTTCTGCTGTGTCCTCTATTCTGACGTTTTTATGTTTTTTACCAGAAATCTAGTTACAAAGAAACAATACTCCAGATTAGCCAAAGAATTTTGTCTTAAATAGAAATGTCTCTTAGTTTTATTGTGCTATGTTCATTTTTAAGAACTATTAAAAATTAATTTAATTTTGATACTGATTTTACAGACATGTCAAGTGCAACTGCCTTAGAGCTATTGAAGGCTCAGGCTGCTCTGCTGCCAATTGATGACTCTTCAACATTAGTGACATCTGCTGTAGCCCATGGACAAACCCTCCATCTCACTGAAGCTGGACGACAGGCTTTAAAACTTATTAAACAAGTGAGCTGACTAATGTATGACCCTTCTCGTTAAACAATCCATAGATATTCAGTATTAGTAAACATTTCTTTACAATCTGATTGCATTTCACCCTCTAAAACACACCACATTTCATTCCCTCACCCCTTTCACTCATGCCACATCTCATTTACAACTGTACTTCTTCATTACTATACCCATCCCACATACTGTACTTAAACTAGTTGCTTTTCTAAAAAATCTATTTTCTTTTGCCTGTAGCTCCTTTCTACCTATTGGCTACCTGTTGAAGATTCCAGGGATCAGTGTTCCCACAGCCCAGTTTCTGACCAGGCCTCCTGGTTGCTGGTCTGATCAAGCAAGTTATTTGATGCATCTGCGAATAGCCTGACATAAGAGTCACAGCCTGGTTGATCAGGTATCCTTTGAAGGTACTTATTGAGTTCTCTTTTGAACACTGCAAGAGGTCGGCCGGTTGTGCCCCGTATGTGTAGGGAAAAAGAGTGTTGAAAAGTCTTGTGCCTTTGATGTTGATAAAGTTCTCTCTCAGCATGCCTTTTGCACCTCTGCTCTTCAGTGGGGTTATTTTTCACATCCTGCCATTCCTTCTGTTTTCATGTGGTCTTTTTCTGTGTGTAGATTTAGAAACATAAGAATAAAGGCAACTGCAGAAGGCCTATTGGCCCATACAAGGCAGATCCTATTTATAACCACCCAATCCCACTCATCTACATGTCCAACCCATCCTTGAAACAATCAAGGGATTTGGAACCAGTTCTTCTAATATTGTATTTCCATGTGTAAATTATTATGTATCTCTGCCACTTGTGCTCTAGGAAATACAGATTAAAATTTTTTAGGCAGTCCAATAATTTAGATGTTTTGTTGAGTGGCTTCTAGTGGTAAAGGTCTTTGCATGCTCTCCAGGTCAGCAATTTCTCCAACTTTGAATGTGGCTGTTAGTGTGCAACAATATTCCACTCTAGAGAGCACTAATGTCTTGAAAATTATCATCATTAGCATGGCATCTCTTGTTTGGAAGGTTTTTGTTACCCAACCAGGTCACTTTTCTTGAAGTTATGACAGCAACTTTATTGTGTTCTTTAAAAGTGAGGTCTTCTGTCATAATTACTCCTAAATCATTTTCATTGCTTTTTCTTCTTTCAATCAACTTTATACTGACTGTTTATTTTATGTCCAGTATTACTAAGTGGAGTACCTAGCAGTGCCAGGGTTGACCCAAAAAGGTTGCTCCATTTAAGTATTTGGTATTTGGGTTAACCCAAGCATGTATGTCAGTATATGTCACGTGTGTTTCTGTATCACCTAAGTATATATCATATGCATCAGTATATATCGCATGTCAGTATGTATATCATGTGTGACTGTATGTAGCATATCAGTATATATCACATGTCAGCATGCATCACTACTGGTCTGTTGACTGCCTGCACATGCTTGAGCCATGTGATGCAACAAGTAACTGACTCGAAAGGGTGTGTGTAGGGAGGTAGGGGACAGGGTGTCGATGACATCATGAACACATCTTGGCCTATTAAGGGGAAATTACAATGAGTAAATTGTTATTTTAAATTAACAGGCATCACTCAGTATGTAATGTTTTGTGTTATGGTTAAAAGTAATTGTTTTGAATTTTGTTATTTAGTGTGTAAAAGATGGAGTCAATCATGGGAGTGTCAGGAAGTTCAAGGAGTTTCGTTGGCACTGGGGCCCCACTGTACTCATTTCATTAATGCTACTCCCAACCCTCCTTTGTTGGACACACACCCCACAGCAATCATTGTACAATGTTGAGTGAGGGTTTTCCCAAGCATCTGGCCTCCAGCGTCGGACAGACAGACATAGACTTTTTATTTTCTAGTTATAGATATACTGTACCATTAAACTCAAATATTTGATTATTTCTTGCAGGAACTACCATTGTTACCAAGCAACACCCTACCACAGGAACTTACTGAGAACGATAAAGTAATCAAGAAATTTAGGTCTAGTAATACAAATACCAAAGCTGGAGAGGGAGGATCATCACACACATCAGTTGAGCCATCCTCATGCTTACCAGCTTTGTTACGAGCATCAGATGCATCAATTGCAGATGATGATGAGAGATATGAAGATCAACAAGTAACCCAGGTCATAACACTGAGTCCAGAGCAATATGCTGCTCTCACAGGTAAATAACTATAAAAAAAGAAAAATTATTGACTTTCCCAGTGGCCTTGGGAAATCCATTGAGCACATTTAAAATTAAATTGTGTGGTTCACTTTCATTTTGAGATTTTCTAGTTTTCATTTACAAATAATGGCCTCCTGGAGGCATCTCCGGTTGCAGTGAATCCCTCGCTGCAACGAATTGGGGTTGGTTCCATATAGCTCTTTCGAATCAAGGTTGCACTGTACTCACATTTATATTTAATGTGATGCAATAAGGCACTGACAGATATTGTAGAGTATTTATACACTTCCTAACTGTACAGTACATTGTATTTAATAAATTGTCAATGATATTTCCAGTATTAACTCCTGTACTGTGTTCACCAAACAACCTGTCCTCTTGAATAGTACTGTACATTGCATTTTCACATATAAATCCCCCCCTAAGGAAAAAAAATATACAAAAATTTATATTGGCTCGCAAAATTGACTTGATATCCTGTTTTCTATTTATTAGTTCTTAGTTAGGTTACAGTCGGGCAATGTAGTATGTCAGATTAGTGACTGGAAATGCTCAAGAGGTTAGGCTACACAGATATCTTGTTTAACTGGTGGTGCTCCTACCAGGGAAAGTCGTTTTTAGGTATAGCGAATGATTCAAAACTCTCACGGGAACACTGGGCTCACATCTACTTCCTCAGACCTTCTCCTTCTCTGTGGGTAGTAAGCTTCAGGGAGCCATGAGGGGCTCCTCCCAGAACCCCAGTGTTGAATGTAATGGAATGTCAATTTCTGGGTAAGCCCCCTGAAAGTTATATGTTTCTGTAACTTTGCAAGATTAGAATTATCCAAACTGAAAAGCATCCTTCTTACTACTATTCCATCTACTGCTTTCTCATCATTTGCCAAATAATCTGTCAAGAGGTTAATAAAGTCAAGTCTTATCCTATCGGATAATTAACTATTGCAAGAAGGGTCTGCCGTATTTTCACATATTTTATTCCACTTAAATAAAAATATTGATTAAGAAAATCCGTAGGAGCAGTGACGAGGGTTCGAACCTATGCAGCGGGTGTTCCCACGCATACGTTCTAGAGGACTAGACCATGACATGGTATTAAGATTACAAATTTGTGAATTTTTATGTATATACGATTTTTGCAATCCTTGTACCATGTCGTGGTCTGGTCATCTAGACCACGACGTTTCCACGGGTGTGTGTGGGAACACCCAGCACATACGTTCGAACCCTTATTACTGCTCCTATAGATTTTCACATTGATGCAGTTACATTAGCGTAATTACTTTGTGTAAAAATACTGATTCTTATTATTGTGACATTTCAGGTGGAACTAATGGGCCCATCATTCTACAGGTGTTACCATCAGGTGCAGATGAAGACCACTTTAATGAAATAAACAAGAATCAGAGTCCACCAGCGACAAAGCGCCAGAAAATTATGCAGTTGGTCACAAGAGTGGGTCAGGGAAGTTTGGGGCAAAATCAAGCTTTAGCTAAAGTGTCAGGACAGGTTTGTATTGTAAATTAATCCAGATGTAATGGATAAAGAAGACTAATTACTGCTTGGTCTATTCCAGCATTTTTCATTCTACTTTTCCACTTGTGTTAGAAAGTTACAGTATGTTAATCATTACCCTTTCGACATTTTGTATTTTGGTTACATTTGTCTTTATAAATCAAGATATTTTTGGGGGCACCCCTTTTGGCTTAAACCATCTCAGATGGCTTCAAACTACTAGGTCACATCAGCTGCGGAGTTCTGTTTGACCTATCGGGAACCAGAGCCAGAACCTGGCCCTCCCCTCCCCCCATCACAGAGGTACTGAGAGCAAGTGATTCTCGGCCACTCCACCAGGACAGCACACAGAAAGTCAGCAAACCAATACAGACCACTGCTGGATCCAGAGAGACCAAGGCCTGAAACTGCCAATTGAACTCCACCAAACATTGTAAGCAAATTATCAAATCGTAAAACCAGCATGAGCGCGTTAGTATTACCCCCTCCCCTACCGGTTGGGTGTAATCCCCAGAGTTCCAGGTCTCCTCCCATCCTCCGGGTCAGTTTTGTCATTGATGCGGACACAATTAATTGTTGTCCTCTGTAGGAGTCCTGGGTCATCATCAAGCTGCATGGACCCCATTACTTCTAAGCTAAGTGCCAGCCATTCTTGCTGGGGACATTTCCTTGCCGCTCTTTCATGTTTGTTATATTCATGAGCATGTTTTATATCGATTTATGTTGTGTTAAGCTAGTTCATTAGGATCTTGGAGTTGCATATGCTCAGGGCTAACTTCCCTTTGTGCTTCTTAGCACTGCCTCTTGCTGCACTAATGGAGTTCTCTTCTCTGGTAATGTACTTCTCTTACTTAAGTGTACTTAAAGGATGAGAGCTAAGCTTGTAGAGTGTTCAGCAGTTTGCTCTTTCAAGGCCAGACCACTTGGGCCAGGGCCTTATCTTGGGTGTGTCAGGGGTCTTTTGGCCCCTCTGTCTAGATCCTTGGGTGGAGGAACATTTTTGCTGGTTGGGGCACACAGGGAGGGGTTCATGCTCTTGTTTTACATGGCACACTGAGGTAAGCCTTCATAGCAGCATTAATTGGGCTGTATCATTCTACTTACATTATTCCTGCTGAGCATCCCCAGTGCCTAGGCGACCTGTTCGGTCAGTCCACAAAGACATGAACATGAAGCTTGCCTTCACGTTCCTGTCTTTGTACTAGGTTGGATGCCCCAGATTTGCCCTGTCTTGTTTTTAGGGACCCAGAATTGGAGGTGTTGGTGAATTCTAACTTATACTGAGGTGGAATGATCCAATGATTCTGAAGATCAACGTCCCCACAGTCTGTTCTCTGACCAGGCTTCCTGGTTGGTGCTTCGATCATTCAGACTGTTCAATGTGGCTGCTCGCAGCCAGATGTATTAGTCACATCCTGGTTGATCAGCTATCCTTTGAAGGTGTTTATCAAGTTCTATTTTGAACACTACGAGAGGTTGGCCAGTTATGCCTTGTATATGTAGGGGAGAGTGTCGTAAAGTCTTGGGCCTTTGATGTTAATCGAGTTCTCTCTCTCAGCATGCCTATTGTACCTCTGCTTTTCAATGGGGCTGGTTTGCACATTGTCATGTTTTGCACATTCCTGATTGCCCTAAACGGTCCTGCCTCCTTTATCCCAACTGGACTTCATTCTGTACTTTATTGAGATGTCTTAACCATTTTCTGTTTTAGTTCCAATGTTTGCTTTTAGTTCCAACTCAAGCTTGTTATTAAATGTGTGTCATCCTGGACCACCAATCACAGCCTTAAGTTCTCTACTATGAAAACTTGTTGTATTATTCTTACTAGAAAACATATTGTCTACCAACCACTCTTGCACTTCTGTGGAAGCCAATTTATTTATACAGATTATGTGAAATTTGGAATAGGTCTTTGACAAATGCCCTTCCAGTTTGTCATATGTCTATTACCTACACACCAAACACTACAAGACTTTTATCTTGCTCAAAGTCTTGTCACATATATCTGTGGTGCAGTTAAATTAATACTTCTTCATAGTACTTTCTAAACTGGACTATGGTAGACCTACATACTTATAAACTTCACATTTGACCCTTTGTCATCTATACATCACATGGATTTGCACCCTGGGATGGGAGTCTTTGGTCCTTCCCCAACCCAGAGCCTATATCTAAAAACTGCAGTTCCATCATTAATGATTGCTGCAATTGGCAATTGGCTTTAATATTTTGCTTGGGCCCTATAATGAACCTATTTGCTTATCTTGACTGCTGCCCTCATTGATAACTCTGCACCCTCTTCTTTGCAGATTTTTGCTACACTGGTTTTTGCCTTTTGCTGACTTCTCTCTCTCAGTGTATGTCTGCAATGTGTCCTAATATATTATGTCTATCTTACCCCAATGAAGGGATCTATTTTATATATTAAATTCAGTTGGGAAATGGTCTTAAATGACAAAACTCCCACACGGAATAGCCCAACTAACTGCTGAAGCATACAACATCTGCCTGAAATATATGTCAATGAGTAGGGTAAGAAAGAGGTCTGCTATAAAGAAAATACAGACGACTGTACAAGAGAAGTAAAAAAAATCACAAAATGCTTAAGCAGACACGACTTTCACAACAAAGAAAAATAATCTAAATAGGGAGATCGAAGAAATAGAACAGACACTGGAGCAATCATACCAGTCCGAGGAATTAGAATTGGAACATAAAACTATACAAGAGATAAAAAAAAAAAAAAAAAATTTAAATGAGCAAAATCAAAATAAAAAATCTCCAACAGTATTGGAACTTTACTTACAACTGAAAGATCGTATACAGAAGATAACAAAGAAATTTGTGAAATCGTAAAAGGCCAGTATGAGGCTATGTTTAGCACCCCATAAACAACATGAAAGTTGAAGATCTGAACAGCTTCTTTATGAATGACATCCAAACTCCAGATAATTATAATTGATATAAACATGAACACAGTAGACTTTGAGAGAGAAATTGACAACATGCCTATGCACTCGGGGCCCAGGTCCTGACTCATGGAATTCAATGTTCATTTAGAAATGTAAAGTACAAGAAATGCGAGTGCTCATTGTCATATGCAGAAATAGCTTGCATACAGGGGAGATACCAACAGCACTTAAATCAGCAGATATAGCTCCACTACACAAGGGAGGTAGTAAAGCTTTGGCAAAAAACACTGTAGACCAGTTGCACTAACATCACGTATAATTAAAGTTTTTGAAAGTGTGATTCGGAATCAAATCTCCAGTTTATGGAAAACAATGAACTTCACAACCCAGGCCAACTTGGATTCAGAGCAGGAAGATCCTGTCTTTCACAGTTATTTAACTACTATGACAAAATCACAGAAGCATTAGAAGAAAAACAAAATGCAGATGTTGTATACACAGACTTTGAAAACGCATTTGATAAGTGTGACCATGGAGTGAAAGCCCATAAAATGAGATCAGTAGATCATAATAGGTAAAGTGGGGTGTGGGATTTTAAACTTTGTCAAACAGAATGCAGAGTAAGTCAATCAAATAAGATCAAGTCCAAGTGCAGTGAAAAGCTCTGAACCCTCAGGGCACAGTCCTTGTACTGTGCTCTTTCTCATTTTTATCTCGGATATAGACAAAAATAATAGGCAAAGCTTTGTGTCATCCATTGCAGATCAGAAATCAGCATGAAATTTCCTCTGTAGAAGACACTTAAAACTACAAGCCAATATTAATAAAGTATTTGATTGGGCAATGGAAAGTAACATGATGTTTAATGGTGATAAGAGCCAGGTACAGTACTTAGATATGATGGAAATGAGGGACTTAAATGAAATACAGGGTACAAGACACACTCACTTAATCATTGAAGGAAAGCAACGAGTTAAAAATCTAGGAATAATAATGTCTGACAACCTGACATTTGGTGAACATAACTAAGCAAATATAGTGGCAGCAAGGAAAATGATAGGTTGTATTATGAAAACATTCAAATCCAGAGATCCCACAGCATTGCTAATACAGTATTATTTAAACCACTGATTACCATCTTGGGTACTGCTCAATACTCATTTTCCCTTTCAGGGCAGGGGAGAATTCTGAATAGAAGGAATACAGAGAACCTATACGGCATACATAGACACGATACAACATCTAAATTACTGGGACAGTCTCAGGGCTCCCAAAGTGTACTCTCTGGAAAGGATATGTACACTTTGGGAGTACATCTCCTTTCCAGAGGGGAAAGGAGTACAGACAGTGATCTAAGAACCTATACGGCACACATAGACACGATACAACACCTAAATTATTGGGACCGTCTCAGAGCTTCCAAAGTGTACTCTCTGGAAAGGAGATTAGGGAGGTATCAAATAATATATATATATGGCATATACTAGAAGGCCAGGTCCCAAATTTGCACAGAAGAACAACATACTGGAGTGAAAGATATGGAAGGAAATACAGACTAGAACCAGTGAGAAGTAGAGGTGCCATGGGCACAATCAGAGAGCACTGCTGAACATCAGAGATTCACGGCTGTTCAATAACCTACCAGCAAGCATTAGAAATAGTGCCGGAACAAAGGTGGATGTCTTCAAGAAGCATTTAGATAAGTTTTTTTTTTTTTTTTTTTTTTTTTTTTTTTTTTTTTTTTTTTTTTTTTTTTTTTTTTTTTTTTGAGATATATACAAGAGTTGTTACATTCTTGTACAGCCACTAGTACGCGTAGCGTTTCGGGCAGGTCCCTGGAATACGATCCCCTGCCGTGAAGAATCGTTGTTACAACCAAGTACACATTTTACTGTTGCGTTAAACAGAGGCTACAGTTAAGGAATTGCGCCCAGTAAATCCTCCCCGGCCAGGATACGAACCCATGACATAGCGCTCGCGGAACGCCAGGCGAGTGTCTTACCACTACACCACGGAGTTCTTGCAAGAAGTGCTGGACCAACTGGATTGTAGTGTATTTGTGGGCCTTCAGGCCGCTCCAAGCAACAGCCTGTTGGACCAAGTTATCACAAGTTCAGCCTGGCCCCAGGCTGAACTTGGGAAGTAGAAGAACTCTTGGAACCCTTTCTGGGTATACAATGAAGTGCCTCTTCATGGTGGATTTCTTTGGTGGCTTCCTGTTCCTCCCCCTTCCCATTTCAGGGAATTTGGGTTTCATCCTAGGTCTGTGCATGTCTAAGTTGGGTTGTTGGCTGGGGCTGCCATTTGGTGGAAGGAAAGTGTAACTAACTAGTGGTGGTAACTGGCTGACAAATGTGTACATAGGTGATAGGATTGCCAATGCTTCTCCATGCAGTTGCTTGTTTTGGGGTGGTCTATCTTTCCTGTGGTTTTCCTCTGTCTTGAGTTGATTTAAGCATCTCTTGAATCCCTGTGACTATTGAGTGAACCAGATTCTGCTTCTAGTCTGCAGTAGGCTTTTTTAACTTGCAATGGTTTGCTGGGACATTTTAGGCTTGGACCTAAACAGATGGCTTACTTCAGGGAGCCACTGAAAGGAACCACCAAAACAGAGGCATTTCATTACATTCATTGGTGGATTTTTACACTCGACTCAAATTTCACTCGTATTAAACACAAATCGACTCGAGTTACCATATGTCTGTATTTTACCAGACATGCCTGGGTTTTTTTTATTCTTAGATCACTGTCTGAGAGGAGTTCTTAAATATTTAAAAAGTCTGGAATTAGCAATTATTATTTTCCTCCCCCAGAAGAGTTCATCACTAGAGAGAGAGTTGTTTATTGGTCCTGGACTCTTCTAGTTTGCGGCAGCATTCACTTTTCATCCCAGACAGGTATGATCATTCTTCCATTGTGCAACATCAGCAATTTAATTACCTTTTCTGGGGGCAGCCCATGTGGCTCCTTGGCTCTCTGAAACTATAATGCTGGTATGGTGCCAAACTACTAGGTGCAATCAGTCATGGAGTTTTTAGGCTTACCGAGTGCCATAAGCCAGAATCTGGCCCTCTCAAAAGAGACACAGAGATCAGTGGCACTATGATAAAATTGTCTGTGCATTTTAATCATGTCTGCCACCACCAGAGAAGCACCCACAAAGTCAGCAAAACAAAATAGACCACTGCTTTTTAGAAGGAAGACCAATGCCTCAAAATCCCTAAAAAAAAAAATCCTCCAACAATATAAACGAATGATTGAAAATTCATGAAGCTAGTGTAAACTTGTTCACTCCACCTCTCCCCACCCATTTGTGTTCGGGGAGAAGGGAGGCAGACCAGGTCAACCAGCTGCTCCACCTTCAGTTCTTTGCTGATGGTAGACAGTATGAGGTGCCCTCTCTGTTGTTCTGACTCCCATGTTCTACTTCAGTTAAGTTGTGGGCTTTTTTCCTTTGTGGCAGTTCCAATGCACGTTTGTGCTGTGTTAGCCAGGTGAATAGGGTGCTTGGAGCTGCGTTTGCACAGGGTTTTCTTCCCTGTGCATTTCGTTTGATATAACATAATATACAGACGGTATGGGTTTCAAACAGGAAGATCCTGTATAACAAAGCTACTTACTTTTTATGATAGCGCCACTGAGATACTACAGGAAAGAGGTGGTTGGGTTGACTGTGTCTAACTGGACCTAAAAAAAGATTTTTAATAGAGTCTCACACAAGAGGTTGTTCTGGAAACTGAAACATACTTGAGGGGTGACAGGGAGATTTCTGACATGGATGAAAAATTTTCTGACAGACAGATGAGGGGCAGTAATCAGAGAAAATATATCTGACTGGATGAGTGTTACTAGTGGAGTACCACAGGGTTCAGTTCTTACATTAGTAATGTTCATTGTCTACATGAACGATCTACCAGAAGGAATACAGAATTACTGTATATGAACATGTTTGCTGATGATGTTAAGATAATAGAGAAGATTGGAGATGCAGACGATTGTAATGCTCTTCAAATTAATCTGAATAAAATAAGTGCTTGGAGTGTCAAGTGGCAAATGGAATCCAATGTGAATAAATGCCATGTTATGGAATGTGAAATTGGAGAAAATAGACCACACACAACTTACAAATAATGTGGAAAGGAATTACAGAACTCTAATAAGGAACGAGACCTAGGGGTGGTTTAGGAGAGTAAGCTGTCGCCAGAGGAACACACAAATAACATTGTGAGAGGAGCGTATGCGTCACTATCCAACTTCAGACTTGATTTTAATTATGTGGATGGATAAATACTAAAGAAACTGTTCATGACTTTTGTGAGACCAAAATTGGAATACGCAGCAGTTGTATGGTGCCCAGATCTCAAGAAGCACAGAAATAAACTGGAAAAGCTGTAACAGCATGCTACAAAATGGTTTCCAGAACTGAAAAACAAGAGTTACGATGAGAGACTGGAGGCGTTAAATATGCCAAAACTAGAAGATAGAAGAAAAAGTGGTTATATGATCACCACTTAAAAATACTAACAGGAATCGACCAAATTGACAGAAGAATTCCTGAAACCTACAATTTCACTGACAAGAGGAGACAGATTCAAGTTAAGGAAATGAAGGTACCAAAAAAATATTAGGAAGTTTATTTTTGCAAACAGTGGTAAACGGTTGGAACAAGCTAAGTGAGAAGGTGTTGGAGGCCAAAACCATCAGTAGTTTCAAAGTGTTATATGGCAGAGTACTGAGAAGACAGACACCACAAGCGTATCTCATCCTGTAACTACATTTAGGTAATTACCAGAAGATTGACAGTTGAGAGGTGGGAACAAAGAGCCGAAGCTCAACCCCTGTAAGCACAACTCTGTGAGTACTGTACTGTTTATACCACGCAACTCACGGTATTCATAAAATAAAAAAATTCTAAAGAATTTTTGTCTTTTTAATATTGTAAAAATGCATTCCCTGATTACTGGAAAAATAGTAAAATAATTATATGTGACTTACTGTGGCTGTGGTGTAACCTGAAATTTTCACAATGATGTCACGATTCACGTGCGCACATCGAGTAATTCCTCTGGTGTGATTGCTCCAATCAAGCCGTCAGGCTGGAGTTGCCATGAATGGACAATAGTCTTTACATATTTATTTCAATGTTTCTGATTTGTTTTTTCTCAGTTTTTTGCAATAATGTTATTCAATAGTGTGTCTTGAGAGAAATTTATATAATAAAATGTGTGGAACATTGGAATGCTCAAATATATTCATGTCACTAAGATGTGTGTATATTATTTGCTTAGAATAATACAACATTCTATTTTTGGTGTTCTTATACTGTATACACACTTTTTGTATTATTATGTACATTTTCATACACGATTATGAACTACTAAGCTGTTCTGGGGAGTGTGGTACTCTCGAAACATGTGGTCAAGCATTCAGACAAACTCTGCATGTTTTGCATGAAATTGTAACTGCAAGCATTGAACATATTATAATTCTCTATATTGTTATTGTTATACCATGATTTTTTCAAGGGCAGTGAGTCAATGGGTTGACAATAATGTTATTTATATCACAGAATGTGTTGATCATGGGTACACAGATATATTCGTGTCACTAAGATATGTTCTATATTATTTGCTAAAGAACAATAAAATATTCTAATTTTGTTATACTGGCTCATGCTCCTAATGTTTCCCAACATCAAGAAAACAATTAATTTAAAGTAGCCTCTCCTAATCTACCAGAGGACCCAAAAGAGAAAATGGGACAGTATGTCACTTTCACAAGCTGCTTCCATTTTCTAGTATGACAATTTTTGGCCTTTTTGCATAGGAGCAAAAAGTGACATTCTTTGTAGGACAGGTTGGCTATATGGTAAACACGCTTTATATATGACTATGTACATTTATATACACGATTATGAACCACTAAGCAGTTCTGGTGTGTGGTAATGAAATTCAAAGACAGCATAGTGCCTCACACTATGGGCAAATTGTGCCAGCAGACAATATAAAAAGCATCACTATATACTACATACATCTCTAATTCTAGGAACAATGTTGCTATTATTATTATTATCAGCAGCATTCTGATGACAATTGTGTGTAATTTGATAAATTTAAATAAAATGTGTGCAATATTGCTACGTATACTCAAAAATATGATGCAAATGTTAGTGACAAGATTATTATATTCTTAGAACAGGAAAACAGTGCTTTTGCTGTTATTAAACTGCGTATACAGTGGCACCTCGATTAAGGAGTTTAATCCGTTCCGACACCGAGCTCGTCATGTGGAAAAGTCGTCTTGCGAAACAACAACAAAACTGTCGTAAAAGGTGTCCGAGAACTAGTGGAAACGCTTGTTAATTGAGGAAGAGCTCGTTAGTAGAGACAAATGTTCTGCGAGTGGCTCGCTCGTTACTGGAAATGCTCGTAGATAGAGCTGCTCGTTAATCGAGGTGCCACTGTACATTATTTATATTGTCACATAATTCCCCAGCATAGCAGAAAAAACTGCCTCTTCCTACTCACCTTTGTTCACCATCACTCTGCATACCATCTATATACAACCAGTATGAAGTTCAATCCAGATGTATGTCTGGAAAGCACACACCTTCCCTGTCACCCTCCACCCAGACCCCAGAGCCCCGGGCAGGTGCAAGACCAGGCCTGCCAACTCATGGTTACCTGTGGGTAACAAGCAGTCTCACTGCCGACTTGTAGTTCCAAGCCTCGGTGACAAAGGATCTGAAAACACCAGCAGGGATATAAGTACTCCTAACCTCACTCACCACGGTAGTCTCTCTTCGGGTGTTCAGGGTACAGCATTACGACCTACGCTCGATACTGGCCTCCCGCTGCCTCGCGTGCAAGTTCTATTGTTTATTTATGTAAATATTCCTTTGGTCTCGCCTATATTGTTGTATTAACATAAGTTTATTCATGTGTAATTATAATTTTTCTTGTGTGCTAGCCAAGTGTATATTATCAAGGGTTTCAGATATATTTCATGCGTTTGTTCATTATTAATATTAGAGTAAATTGTGTTAATTTTTCGTCTGATTATTCTTTCAATCCTGGATAATTTTCACACTGCAAGAGCCAAAGTGTCACTTTTTTTTTAATGTGAGGTGCATCCATGTCATCCACATTACATCTGTCTAGTATAGCCATACTACTGCATCATATCACAATATATATAACTATCTACATTTTTGTGCACCATAGCGAACCACTAAGCTGATCTGTTGGGCCCATACACACGCCATACCATCAACGTGATAGTATGTTCATGCAACATTGCTTGTCTCGACGCCACCTGACTCAACATAATGCCTCCAATATAACACTCCTATCGCTAACTCTAGACACAGTGTTGCTTTTTATTATCAGCATCTTGATGAGTAGATCATGAATATGATTTATTTTGTCACAAGTTTATTTTCTACAGTAGCATGAGGTCATTTCATGATGTGTAGATGCACCAAACAATGGCAGTGTGCAGTGCTTGTCTGCATCATGCTGTGAACATTATAAACAGCATTGTGTTCACTGATGCCTGAACACTAAACATACTGTAGCCTTTATTACAAACAGGATCTTGTATGTTACTATCATCACAAAATAATAGTATTTACTGAACAAATCCACAAGAGCCGTGATGAGGGGTACGAACCTACGTCCAAGATGAACCCAGACACGCCTTAGTTGACTGTGCCACGACAGGGTAAAAGAATTGCAACTTTTTTGAACATTGAAAAGAACATAGGGGAGCTTCATGCTCTTCTTCGGCACTGGAGGTTTTGTTCTTTTGGGCCTGGAAGATGTTTTGTTTGTTTCCAGTTGGCTCATCCTTTTTTTGGCAAAGAATGAGTCTGTTGGCTTCCTGAAAGGTTCCTTGGTTGTGTATGCTTGTTTAGTTCAACCGAGGGGTGCATCACATGCTTTGTTCTGTGCGGCTCTTCGTCACTATCTTTGTGTGATTGGTTCCACTTCTGTGAATGTGTTGTGGGTTGATCCGGTTTCCCTTGTTCCGTGTTCCAGGGCTCGTCATCTTCAATGTAATAAAGTCTAGCCAGTCTGCAGTCTACCCTCATGTTCACAATGTTTGTACATATGCCACTCTCTCGGCTGTTTTTGCTAATACTGTATGTCATGGGCTGGTATTCAGACACAGGGAATGTTTTGGAGGTCAAACAGGGGTCATGGCAGCCAGGTATCTCTTAACGTCTCTCTATTTCCATTCCATTGATACCTGTAGTTCTCCATCCTCCCTGATAATTGCCCATGTTCTTCCTTCTCCATAGGTAGTTAGGTTCAGAAAGCCACAAGGGGCATCCTGAAAACCAGTGTTGAATGTAATGAAATACCCACTTCTGGGTGAGCCCCAGTGGTTCCCTGACACCCTCCATCCTCCAGGAAGTCGAGGGTGTTTCCATCATCATAGAACTGAGGGTGGAGCAGCTAGATGACCTGGGCTGCCTTCCTCCTTCCATAAACAAGGGGCAAGGTGGGGCAAGCAAGCTAACACTAGTTTTGCAACTTTTTTATCATTTGTTTATATTGTTGGGGACTTCATTTCACGGTTTTGGAGGCTACACACTCGCTTCTAACCAAGCCAAATCTGTTTTGTTTTGTTTTGTTATTTTTCTGGGTAATGACAGACATGAATAAAGTCATGGAAGTTTAATCATAATGGCCATCACTTCCTTTACCTTTCTGAGGGGATCAGGTTGTGGCTCAAGGTACCTGGTAGGTGAAATAGAACTCTGTATCTGATGGCACCTAGTAGTTTGCACTATATCAGATGGAGTAGCTTCAGGGAGCCACCGGGGATCACCCAGAAATGGGCATTTCAGTACATTCAACAGTGGTTTTGTTAGCAGGGGATGTATGGGTGATGGGTGATACAATGAAGAAGTGTATGAGAGATGTAATATGAGTGAAAGGAGCAAGAGAATATAAATGTTGAGTAGATGAAGCACAATACACTAATTGATATAAACATATCAAAGGATATACAAGGGACCAAATGATAGAGGTCAGCAAGGAGTTTAGAGTAAGACTGGGTTTAACTGTTTTAGGGCCCTAGGCCAAAACAGCTAAATGGGTAGTTTTGTCAGTCTGGTCAGTGTGGCTATTCAAAGGCTAAACACATACATGTAGACAGCTCATATCATAATATGTAAGGATTAATGATCAAAGTTATACTATGCATAGTTTTCCAAGGAATATATTGAAGCTGTATAACAATAAAGTGCTTATGTAAGTTTTAATTCCTTTTTCCAGAAAAAACAGTATATATATATATATATTGAAATAATTCACAATATTTATCATGGTTATATTATGCATACTGCTTAGTTTTCCATATGAATACCTAAAGGCCAATATTTAAAAAATAATCAGGGAGTGTTACCAATTAATTGGCTGCTCCAAGTATTATTTGTTATTTGTCCATTTTTATTGTACAAAAAAAAAGTGCTGGTGGTCCACTGTTGGGCCCTAGGCCATGGCCTACCTGGCCTATTGGATAATTTGGTCTGGTTACTGGTCATACAACTTGAAAGAGTGAACAGTTGGGTGTGGTGAGAGAGCCTCTTGAAGTAATTTCTGCTGCTTTCTCCCCCTGATGTGAAGCTTCAGGGAGTGAGTAGTGCATTGAGGTTGTATTGATGTATAACATTTATTGCTGGAATATTAATTTGTTTCTGTCATTTTAGAAGAATAGTTTCAAATAATAATTTTTTCCATTTTTTACAGGTGCTGAGTGTAGACATTCCAAGTGTGAATCATCTATGAGAAAAGTACTGGCATGCCTTATGTAAAAAGGCAATTAAGTTCCTGGAAAAAGACTTGTTATATTTAAATGCATTATATAAACAGAGTAACAAATGGGGAAAATAGGGTTACATTCCCAGTGATGGCAAAGTTGAACATTACGTGCATACTTATCTCAGATTGAAATTGAGTGTGTGTGTGTGTGTGTGTGTGTGTGTGTGTGTGTGTGTGTGTGTGTGTGTGTGTGTGTGTGTGTGTGTGTGTGTGTGTGTGTGTGTGTGTGTGTAATTACCTAAGTGTAGTTACAGATGAGAGCTATGCTCATGGTGTCCCGTCTTCCCAGCACTGTCATATAACTTTTTGAAATTACTGACGGTTTTGGCCTCCTCCACCTTCTCACCTAACTTGTTCCAACCGTCCACCACTCTGTGAAAGTGAATTTTCTTTTATTTCTTTGGCAGCTTTGTTTAGTTAGTTTAAATCTATGACCTCTTGTTCTTGAAGTTCCAAGTATCAGGAATTCTTCCCTATCAATTTTATCAATTCCTATTACTATTTTGTATATAGTGATCATATTGCCTCTTTTTTTTTCTTCTTTCTTCTAGTTTTTGCATGTTTAATGCCTCTAACCTCTCCTCATAGCTCTTGTCCTTCAGTTCTGGGAGCCACTTGGTGGCATGTCTTTGCACCTTTTCCAGTTTGTTGATGTGCTTCTTAAGATACGGGCACCATACAACCACTGAATATTCCAGCTTTGGTCTAACAAAAGTTGTGAACAATTTCTTTAGCATTTCTCCAAATTCTTCAAATTCATCACTTCATTTTCCATACCTCATTTTCATTCACTGGTTCCATGATTTGTCCCTCTTGAATCTTTGTCTTGTCTGTTAATTCAGTAATTTTTGTACCTTGCTGTAGAAAACCTCCTTTTAAAGTGTGAAACTCACTCCTGAGAGCTCCATTTTCTTCTAATTTAAGTAGTTTTACTAAATACTTCTTTAACATATCCTCATTTATCTCTAACCTACCTAGAAAACCACATTCCTGTATTCACTAGTTCCTTGATTTAGTCCTCTTGAATCTTTGCCTTGTCTGTTAATTCAGTAATTTTTTTACCTTGCTGTAGAAAACCTTCTTTTAAAGTGTGAAACTCACTCCTGAGAGCTCCATTTTCTTCTAATTTAAGTAGTTTTACTAAATACTTCTTTAACATATCCTCATTTATCTCTAACCTACCTAGAAAACCACCTTCCTGTATTTGTTTCTGAGTAAAACCTTTGAAGTCTGTCTCATTGCTCTCTCTACTGACGATCCTGACCCATCCAATCCTGCCCCATCCGCCATCTTTGTTTTGATTTCGTCAGCTCTGGTTCAGAGATCCTTGGACAAATATTTTTTCCAGATTTATATATATTTTTCACAACAATCGCCACTGTCCACCTTTTATCAATGATATCGGTATATTGATGGTATTGGGAACACCGCTTCCATAGCCCTCCCCAGCACTATCATTCAGATATGATGCAAAGATCCTGGAGTTCTCAAGCTGTGTCATGATGATGTAGTGACACCATCACCATCCAATGGAGTGTGTGTGTGTGTCTGTGTGTATTTACTATTTATGTCTGCAGAATCGAGCTATAAGCTCTTGGACCCCGCCTTTTTAACCAATCTATTTTTCCTCTAATATGTCTACTATATATATCTTTCTCTCTTTAGCACATGTGCACACATTCCCAGGAAGCAGCCCTTAGCAGCTGTCTAACTCCCAGGTACCTATTTACTGTTAGGTGAACAGGTGCATCAGGGTGAAAGAAATTCTGCTTATTTGTTTCCGCCTCCACTGGGAATCGAACCCAGGCCATTAGGACTACGACTACCAAGTGCTATCCACTTAGTGAGGTGTATGTGTGTGTGTGTGTGTGTGTGTGTGAGTGGCAGAAACAGCAATGTGTGGATGGGACCAAGTGCTGCAGGTTGTAGTGAATGATGTATGTGGGTGGTAGTAAGTTTTTTGATAAGTGGGTGGTAGCCCGGGTGAGTGTACTTACCTATTTGTGCTTGCAACATCAAGCTCTAGCTCTTGGAACACCACTTTTCTAGCCGCTGGATGTTTAATGCAATGATTCCTGACCTGATCATGCCATGAATGTGTTACTTAACAGTAGCACACTCAGCTTAAATAAGTAGTCACTAAATTATTACCACATTACAACAAAAAACTAGCATGGAATGTAATGAAATGCCAATTTCTGAGTGAACCCTGGCGGCTCCCTGAAGCTATGCACTGAGATGGTTCCCATCTACCTGGTCACATCAGCTATGGAGTTCTTAAGGCCTACTACTAATTTGGGGGAGGAAAGGAGGAGGTGACTGCTCACCACCTTAAGTCAACTCTGGAACACACTCACAAACAACTAACCCCCCTCCCTGGTTGAGAGGGAGGAGGGGATCGGGATCTCATTTCATTCAATGCTTGTTTTCTGGGAGTAGCCCCCTTGTGGCTACCTGAAGCTAACTACCCAGGAAAAAACACATGGGAACTTATCAGGAAATTGGGAAAACTGCAAAATTCAGGATGAAGAAAAGCCCCCCAGAAGAGAGACTTGACCCAAGGCCATACCAGGGTGCTGTTGCCCGGGAACATTCACCAAATACCATGTCGCCAGAACCCTGTTAGACTTCCAAAACCCACTCCTGAATATCGACCCAAGGCATATTAGTAAACAGTCGTGAGAATGGCATACTTCTGAATGTAGGCATGAGGGTAAACCACAGGCGGGCTAGACTTAAAAATACAGCAGACAACCTGAGAAATACGACCCTTGGGACAGGGAACACAGGAATACATATCCCAGAGGTCCAGGAAAATTATCCAAACATCCACCTCTAGTATGAGGCAAACCTAGGCCAATGTGGAACGAGGGGCAAAAATTAAACTGGTTCAGCCTTGACAAGTCATGGACAAAATGAATGTCTGGAGAGTCCCGCTTCGGGACTGGGTAGAAGTGGAAACCCTACCAAAGCAACATAGTCATTTCGACCATGCCAGAAGCCACCCACTCTGAGATGACCTGAAAGACCTGAACCCTCAGAATGGGAAGTAACCAACAAACTTCATCACAGTCTATGAGGAAACAACCCAAAAAACTTACAAATTGTGAGAACAGTAGCTGGTAAACCTTGCAAGGTGCCCACCTCTACCCCTACACTCCATCAAAAGGGCTCGCACAAACCACAAGAAACAGATACCTTCCATGAACAGCAAGCACAGTGCCGACCAGACAGAAGAGGATCCGCTAAGGGAAATGTATGAGACCTGGACTCTGGCTCCACAAAGGACCTACTTTGACCCGCATTAGATGTTGCCTTGTGCCCCAGCACTACCAGACCACCTGAAAGGTTGAAAACAAGACCGCCTGGGAATAAAGAAAGTCTAAAATAGGACTCCAAGCAGCAGCTCCCAAAGAGAGAAACTCAAAGACCACATCCTCAGGACCCATGTTGAATGCAAAATTAGGGACCAACACAGCCTGCCAACATGTGCAAGAGGATAGAGAAGAATGTGGCTATTACCTCCTGGAGCATGGGAATATGCAATTTGGGGGAGTGCAGCCAGCACGGCAGTTGAGGCCAAAAGCCTCACATTTGACCCACCCTTTGAGCACATTAACGTCCTCCTAGAGTCGATCAGGATGCAGCTGAAAGAGGCCCAGAAAACATAACAGAACCCAAATAAATTTCAGGTACTCAGGTACGGTAAAAATGAGGATCTTAAACATAATACAGGGTACAAAACACAATCAAATCTAGTACATAGTAGGTTTGTTTACTAATCTAGTAGTGGTTTCCATAGTAGGAAAGCACCATGTAAAGGATTTGGGAATAATGATGTCTGACGACCTAATGTTTAGGGAGCAAAACCAAGCAAATATTGCATCAGCTAGAAAAATGATAGGATGGATTACGAGAACTTTTCAATTAAGGGATCCCCTCACAATGATTGTTTTATCCAAATCATGTCTGCTGTCCCGTCTTGAGTACTGCTCAGTACTCACTTTCCCCTTCAAAGCAGGCGAGATTGCTAAAATAGAGGGAATACAGAGAACATATGCTGTACAGCATACATAGATGCAATAAAGCACATAAATTATTGGGATTGTCTCAAAGCTCTCCAAATGTACTCATTAAAAAAGCGACAAGAGAGAGAGAACAAATAATATACTGTACACATGGAAAATACTGGAAGGGTCAGGTCCCAAATCTACACAGTAAAATAACAACATACTGGAGTGAACAGTATGGAAGAAAATGCAGAATAGAATCAGTGAAGAGCAGAGGTGCCTTAGGCACAATCAGAGAATACTGTATAAACATCAGACGTCCTCGGTTGTTCAACATACTCCCAGCAAGTATAAGAAATATTGCCAGAACAACCATGGACATCTTCAAGAGAAAACTAGATAGTTTTCTTCAAGAAGTGCTGGACCAACCGGGCTGTGATGGATATGTGGGCCTGCGGGGTCATTCCAAGCAACAGCCTATTGGATCAACCTCTCACAGGTCAAGTCTAGTCTCAGGCTTAGGGAGTAGAAGAACTCCCAGAACCCCATCAAGCAGGTATCAAATGCAAGTGGGCACGAAAGTCGTCTGTCACACGTGCCACCAACAACAATGGGACGTTGACATGAAACTGCACGAGACCCCACATTCAGAGAAAGAGCAGAAGCAGACAGGCAGTCTTTGATGGGCACAAGACCCCCAGAAACACCTGCAACACAGTCAACACCCGACACCTCTGAAGTGTGCAGATATGACAAAAGCTACACCAAGCACCAAGCATGGGGCAGCAGACTAGCTGCACCAAGCATTCACTTCCTGACTTCCTAGATGCCTTCCCCAATGAGGTGGCAAAATGTCACCGCTCCCTGCACCACTGAGAGGGCCAGATTCTGGAGCTGGTTTCCGATAGGCATAAAGAGCTTTCGTGGCATATGCCACCTGGTAGATGGGAACGATCTCGGTACAATACAGGTATATAGCTTCAAGGAGCCACAAGGGGCTCTCTAAGAAACAAACTGTTTAAGCAAGCATTATATAAAGGTCAGTTGTAGTATAAATCAGTCTTGATTGTGAATATAAATTTTACTTAGCAGTATTGTATAGTATTCATTAATCCAACATGCCTTTACCTGCTGTGCAGCAGGCCGATAAACTTTGTGATAAAATACAATTATTAAATATTATGAATGTTAAATTATCTATGTATTTTAAGTGATTAATTTCAT